GAAAGCATAGTTTAAACTAAGTGTTATACAAACCTACCTTACCAGCTAGGGCCTAATTAATGGATGGGTGTGCAGCAAAGTTATTCCAACAGTCATCTGTGGACACCACCACCTCCCATAAGTAGCCTAACAGTATACAATAACAGCACTATACAATGATCTTTCTTTATATCATAGCCAACTGATTTAGGAAGCATCTGCCTAATGTAAAATAAAATGAAAAAATAAATAAATGATAATATATCCTCTTTCTCCTTCCACCAGCTGAGCATCAGCCCCCAAAGTCCCGGCCTTTAGCTATGTCTATGCAATGTCCATACAATATGTGTAGTGTATTTTCTGAAAAAAAAATCTATTTTTAATTTTTAATTATATCTGCTGCCTCAGTTTAGTATTTTTTAATTTCAACTTACCTCTGTAATTGGAAGAACTTAAATACAGCAATGAATTTGAGATATAATGTATACATTGATCCCTATAGAAGATCAATAGGTCATGTTGGGGAGCTGGCAAAAGCATAAAAAGGTTGTGCGTGGATTTCAGACATTTGTCAGTCCATTTTTGGCAGGCATCAAAACGGTCAAAATCAAATTTGCCGTTTGCAAAATTATACAGCATAATTGGTATTTCATATCACAGTCACAGTGTAAAATGAAATCATATTTGGGTCTAAGTAATTAACCCCAGTCAGAGTCATTGGGTGCATGGTAATCTTACATATGAAATGAAACATTACTTTTTCCATATGTATAAATAAATATATAAATACCGATTGACAGACAGACAGACAGACATGACATATACATGCATAGGATAGATGTTAAATGAATATCTTTATTAATCTAGTGATGTAGATACAGAATAAAATTATTGTTTTATGAGTTCCATTAGCCTTGATAAAATAAGAAGACTCCGTAAAGCTTGTTGGCCTGAAATTCTGTTAGTCAATAAAGCATGATATAACAAGATCTTTAGACTAACTATATTTTGACATCTCCATTGCGTGCAAATGGATATATGTTCTGTCCCGTACTTTCATAGCTTTCTCCCCCATCGGAATGTTAATTTCCTTGTTTAGTTTGCACATGTATTATTTAAATTTACCAAAAGCGAAATGGTTAACGTCTTCCCAAAAGCAATCACTTTTTGTTAATGATATATTCATTTGTGTAAAGCAAGGAGTGTTTTATTTAGTGAAATACCTTGGTGGATTTCCAAATGTAGGACAGAGAAGTAGGACGGTAAGATTTAGGATGAATCAACATTAAAAAAAATCATCTAGGCTAGTGAAATATAATGCAAAGTATGAAACAAGGCTGGTTTAGGTAGGAACTAACAGGACTCTAAAATGTCAATTCAAATTAATACATAATATATAGAAGCCAAGTTGTTGTAGAAAATAAGTTCAAGCAGCATTTATAATGTTAAATGAGAAGAAAATATATGAAATTAAATGAGTAAACTCAACAGATACATTTTAAAAGATCACAATATAATGGGTTATACAATTATTAAAGATCAAGATACACTGGGTTATTCAATAAAGTGTGACTTTAGGTTTTTTTTTAGGTTTTCAAACTGAATTTTAAAGGTTTAGCCCAAATAGCCAAATTGAAAAAATTCTAGTCATTTATGTTTTTAAATTTTCCCAACAAATCACACTGATCCTCCAGCCTGGGGCGGCAGGTGTACCTAAGCAAACCTGTTCCCCCCTATGGACCAGGGGGGATTATCCCGGTCCCCACAGGGGGTCAAGCAAACACACACATACGGCAGCACCACGACAGCTCCTGTAGCTACCACAAGCCTTATGCTACTCTCAAAATGGCCGGCGAGCCTGAAAAGCAGACTGAGTCGAACTGACAAGACAAGTTCCTAGCCGCCTTTTATAACATATGTACGGCTTTATGGGCTCGAATTGAATCCCGAGCAGCACAAAAACCACTACCCGCAACTTTAAAAGCACAGCCTGTGACAGGAGACTTTGCAACAAGGCCAGCATCTCAGCCGGGGAATAAGGTGGCGCATGGCTGGCAAAACTCAGTTACCTTTGCCACACGACTGGACGGCATCCTCTTCTTCTGAGCCCACCTGGATATACCCCTCCTCAGGCATTCATACACCAAGGGAGAAGACCGAGTTATGGGAAAACCTTGGGCCCACAATCCTGATGATGGGATCAATGGACATGTGGCAAGGGCCCACATCAAGGCATCGGGCCGAAGACACGTAGCATGCAGGTGGCACAAACCCACAAGACGCCGGTTATGGAGCACGGTGTGGAGGGCCAAGCAACAACACGGTGCGCCCAGCTACCCTGGTAGAGCTCTGCAGACCCATGGCTGTGCTTGGGGCCAGAAGGACAACCCCACACAGCCCGATGGACTGGCTTCCCCTGCTGACAGCACCATCTTGCCCTCTGGCATAGGCTGAGCTCCCATGTAGACATACCACGAGGCTTAGTCATCCTACATTCATGTGCCATTAAGTATCTATCTTAAAACTAAGCTAGCCTTGAGTTCTTACCTTATCATTTTATTTTATAAGTGTAAACAGCGCAGGGCTTACTTTAAGCTGCAGCCCCAGTAGAGAGCGCATGTGTGGGGCCTCAGTGGTCTATATTTCTTGTTTGTTTTGATCTTTATAGTTAATCCTGAAAAGCACAGTTTAGCACGGTTCCTAGTTTATATTGTCTTATGCCTGATTAGCCATTATTCATAATGATAATACTGTGTAGTTTTAAGCAGAGGCGCACTTGGTCAGCCTGATTATTCCCTTATTAATTAAAAAGTCCCCTAGAAGACCTTTAATGGCGAAACGCGCATCGGGACGTTATTTGTATGGTGTGGCTTCTATGATGAGGGAAGACATGCTTTAATATTTTCAGACTATACCACCCATACAAGATTTATTATTTTATTTTATATTTATTTATTTCATTTGCACTTTCTTCTTTTATTCTTTATTCCAGTTTTCGTTCTGGGACTTCTAAACATACTGCATTTACTCTACTTAGAGGAGGGGAGGTGGTTATTAGTGTTTTTTAAAGGGTGCCCTCGAAGGCACAGCACAGTAGGGAAGCTAGTCTCTCCACTTTTAGCTTTATCTCCTGCCTATATATACCATCTTTTGCAGGGCTTGCCGTTCTTCTAGTATTCAAACCGCCTTTATGTTTTCCTCCTCTCTATTCACTAGACTAGCAACATTTGTTACTTTTGCTAGCAGTTACATTTGCTGTTATTCTGTATTTACTTTTTGCAGTATTTCTTCTATATCTTCCACTTCTAACTACCACTGACTTACACAGTGATATTATTCAATTCTTATTATGTATTTTTTCCTGTTATTTCTTTGTTATCCAAATTATAGGGTTATATTTCTTTATTGCTTTATTTATTTTTTCCTTATGTGATTAAAGAGTTTTATTTACTCCTATCTAAGCAGAAGCTATATTGACTCTGCTTATTCTTATTTTTTTTTTATAATTACATCAATTTTTTTACACTATATTAATTAAAAGTTAAGTTTCATCTGGGTTACTCGTCTCTCAGAAGGGTTCACCTACTAAATGGTTCACCCTTTTGTTCCTTCTCTCTAGTCTTTAGTTCCCTTATTAATGATTCCACAAATACGTGCGACCTCTTCAGATACCACGCAAATGCATGATTTTCTGTTCTTCTGAAATTAACCCCCTTGTCTGCCATTTCCGATTCCTGCTTAACATGTCATTGCTTAACAATGCTCTAACTGTCACCAACCTTGGACCTCCCTGGGGGCTAACTGTCACCAACCTTGGACCTCCCTGGGGGCTAACTGTCACCAACCTGGGACCTCCCTGGGGGCTAACTGTCACCAACCTGGGACCTCCCTGGGGGCTAACTGTCACCAACCTGGGACCTCCCTGGGGGCTTACTCCTGTCACCAACCTGGGACCTCCCTGGGGGCTTACTCTTGTCCCCAACCATTTTCTTACTAAACTCATTAATTTACCATGTCTTTAGCATGACCACTCTACAGCACCTATTTATGCATATCTAGCTTGATAAATCTATATCCTTACAAAAATGAAGCAGTCACTCATGAGACAATGTATCGCTGTTATTGTATACTGCATATGTGTGCGTTTTTGCTGATATATAAATATATATTTTCTTCCTTTCTGTAACATACTCACATTGCTTCAGTAAAACAAAAATTGACAAAAAAAATGTAATCAATACATATACTAGCAAACCAATTAAATAATTTATTGGCATTGGAAACTGATGTGCAAAATACTCAATAAAAATACTGTTAGCTTGTCAATGTTTGGGGCGTGTTTCCATCTTTGCTCCATTACAGTACATTTAAATGTATTAAAAAAACACCTAGCCAGAGGCTTATTTAGGTTACTTTTCACCCAGGATGAAAATGCATGTTGGCACTTCCAAATTGTCTTACACCCCCCTTGTGTCTATTATGCAACCCTTGCCTCTATGTGCCCTGATATGCCTCCTACCCAGTTTGAGTGCCCCTTTGGTCTCTTACTCATCTCTTGCGTCTTATTCCCCCTGGCTTCCACATGCAACATTTGTGTTATACACCCACCTTGTGTCTCAAATGTCCTCTTGCATATTTTAAGCCCCTCTTGCATCTTTTATCCCCATCTCTTATGCCCCCTTGGGTCTCTTACATCAACATTTGTCTCTTATCCCCCTCTTGTGTCTCCTGTCGCTCCTCTTGTGTACCCTATATTGCTTTTGTTTCTTTTACCCCTGTTCTTGTGTCTCTTACGAATTCCCCCATGTTTCAAACCCCCTACTGTGTCTTCTATCTTTTCATTGGGGCTCTTGTAGAAAAAAACTTGACATATAGTATATATATACTTGGCACTTTGAAATGCCATTTGAACATTTTTACAGTACACTGTGTAGGTTCAACTACGTATACTTCTTTTTCCTTATAAATACCACAATACCCACGGCAATATTAAAAAAAAGAAACACAGAGTACAAATCGAATATTTTGTGCGTTGTCTTTAATTTGAGAATACAGAGAACATGGTGTAAAAACATCAGTTCACTAGAATAATCATCACAATCTGCAAATCAGTGCAAATTATCTAGAAAATGGATTGATGTCGGTCATTCTGCACATTGTTTGCATGAGACGTTTATACAGTATCTTGAATAGGATAGTTTATATGTTTTAGAGTGCAGCAGTAAGTCAGTCTGACATTCCATTGGCACATACATGTGTTTGCCTTAGTCCTTTTAGTACAAGAGCTGTGCCGTTTAAATTGCACAATAACGAGCCTAGCGCACTTCTGGGCTTGAAAGGATTCACGTTGAAACACTAGGTATAGATATCAAGCGTCTCACAAATCTATACTTACTGCACTGTGTGCTGTTCTCTATAGAAAAATAATGGAAACATTATATATTCCTGCGTAACATGCATAAATAGTGATTGTTTCCAACAGCCAAATGAAAAACCGATAGAAGTCTTATAGACACAACATCGAGGGTTTATTCACTAAATTGCAAATCATGGTGAATTCAGAAATGATTTATAAAATTAAGACCAAAATGGCTGAATTAGAGAAAATAATTCAGTTTAACGATGTAAAATTTTATCCATCTCGGCTATTTTAGTCTAAATTTTGCCATTCAGTCCTTCAAGTCACTAGAATTTGCAGTTTGATGACCTCAGAGTGTTTTAATATCCCCATTGTTAATAGTATGAAATATTGTGTTTCTGATTTGCATTTGTATTATAAATAGATAGTAAGTGGAGTTGATTTAAATTAATTATTCTACACACATATTTTTCTGCCTAATCTGTGAGTTTGACATTTAAAGTACAGTGGAGGTAACTCGCTTTATGGTAATTATAGACTGGAATTGCCATCGTAGTTGCAAAATAAGGGGAAAAATATCCAGGTCAGGAAACAAAATCTGTGCTGATGGGTTTGGGAGTTTTTCAACTTTCCATTTCAGCCAAAAAATTTTAAGGTTGGGGATTATTCACTAGACACTGAACTGTACAAAACTGAAAAATTAATTGCAACATTTTGGCAAAAAGTGATGATTTGGAAACAATCTCCCTCTCATCTGATGTCAGAGCTTTGCTATTTTAGCTGAAATTTTGCAATTTGGTTTTATATCCTCTAGAATTTAGGGATTATTAAATAAACCCATTTGGGTCTCAGCTATCTGTTTAGTGAATAAAGCATCACTGTTATAAAAGGGATAAGTGAAAAGCCATTCATTGAGGAAATGTTACTACCTATAACTTAGTACAAGAATTATTTATGTGGACCAAGGGCCCTAAAATCTCTTCATCATCATAGTTGAATGAAATATCCTTCTCAGGTAAAAACTGGGCACTTTAATGCATTTAAATGGCATTAATGATAAAACAAGCTATCTTCGTCATTATCTGTTTTATTCATTGATAAATGTAAAAAATGTTTGTATCCATTCCAGTCAATTCTTTTTTAATGAAATGCACTTAACAAAAGGCACAGCCTGGCATACAATGTAAATGATGTAAATAAAATATTCCCATGATGCTATATATTGTGGGAAAAGATGCTTGAGTGCACATGTGCATGTCTGGTGCATCTTGGATAAATAGTGGTGCCTGCACTTGGATGTTCAGTATAGGTATGTATATCTTATACATACACTGCATACCCCACACTAATAAATTGTATGGCTTCAGTAAACTTTGCTAAGATGAGGGATAGAGAGACTGTCATGGCCACAACCTGACAATTACCAGGTTATAACCAGAACTGGCATTTTATGAAAAAAACCTTTACAGGCACAGATATGGGATATTTACATGCAAACCTTGTAATCTTGTGTATATGATTTTTGTGAGTGTTAAGCAATGGTATTTTTGAAACTTTATTTTCACTTGATTTGTTTCATAAATGTAGTTGCCAGTTCTTTACTTAAGCTTTGACTTTGGGCATTCGGCCTCATGGTCATCACCATAGCCTTTAACCCTTTGGCGTCATCAGCAGCTCAAGCCATTAAACATAAACAAACAACTACAAACAAAATAGATAAATGATACAATTCTATCACACTCATTGAATAACTGGTTATTACATAAGACGCATAGTACTTACAAAACAGCCATAATTGAATGTGGTGCTTTATTACTACACAGTGAGGTGACAGCTAAAGATTCAGGCTCAGCTGACAAAAATATTCAAAATAACTTTTTCACAAGTGTTATGAATAAACCTATTATAGTGAATTATTTTAAAAAATCACAAGTCGCTCAAAAAAAAACATGTAAGGGTCCTTGTAGCAAAACACTTTGAATCTCACATTTTCTGCAATACGTGATGTGAATTACTTTGGTATAATTGTATTCTAGTATGAGACGATCAGAGTGACTAGTTGAATAATTTCACATAATATTATTCTCAGTTTCTTTAGAAAAACAAAATAAAAACATAAGCTTAGGTGTTAACAGACATTGCAGACATGGACCTTAATTTTATTATTTTTGGATAATCTTTCCAAATTATTTAATATTTTTGGATAAACTTTTAAAATCATCTAATATTATGACAAATATTTTAAATTGTCTAATGTTTTAATAGTTTTTTTTGTTATATTGATAAACCTTTTCTACATGATACATTTTTGATATTTTAATATTTAAAAAAAATTATTTAGAAAATGTGCCATGTGTCCAGAAAGCGTGATTGGACAAAAGTAATCAGAACTGGTGACTTCAATGAAATAGGATCGGCTGCTTCTGGGAGACTGTCCTGGGGCTGGAACCAAGGTAAGGGTTTTTACTTATTTGAATGAATTATAAAGAAAGTGGAGGGGACCAGTTATCGAAACATAAAAGAAAAAAAATATAATTAAAATATTTTTTTGTGTGTGTTTTTAGACTGTTTCTTATAGAATAACCCTGAAAGTCTACCAGCTCTCACATCTTGGCACCTTCCAACTGTTTTGGAAAAACAACTACCATCACCTTAAGCCAATCAAAAGCTGGCTTTCAGTAATAGGAGTTGAAGCTGATCAAAAGGCCAGCCTTTGTTTTAACTCACCTCCTATCCGATATTCTAGTAGCGTGCCCAGCGTTGTAGCTGCCTTTTTTATAGTGCAGAGAACCCTATATTGTATTTTCCTTATAATGTCATCTCGGAAACGTACATTCCAGATCTAAATGTAGACACTCTTTTTTTTATCACCTTGCTTATAGTTACAAAAACTGTACATTACAAACAGTATAGAAACAAACAGAAAAAAATTGCAGCACATTCTGGCTAATTATCTATATGCAGTTAGATTTACAGATAAAAAAAGAACTAAGATAGAGCTTTAAATCCTCAAAGTGCACACTAGATACAGTAGATCACCATACGTAGGAAGAATTCGGTGTTGCTAGTTTTCATCTGCGCAGAGCACTAACGCCAGTTCTGTTCTGTAGAGTTTTCCTCCGTCAGATAAAGCCATGATACTTTTCTTGTATGTCGAAAGGCAGTTGATGTCTAGCTCCTATTTAAAGAACAGATAATTCTTTGTAATCCAGTTTACTTAACCAGATGATCAACCCAATTTACACACAAATCAAGGCGAAATGTTTCCAGTTATGATAGAAGTCACCCGTTTGTAATCAGTGCTTTCCAACCGATACATTTTTGCACAACTCATTCTAAAAGTTTTTTTTCGAGTATTTGAAAAGCATCTCCAAACGTCCGTGACCAATGTATTCACTGAAGGATTTTCATCCGCATTACTGCGGCTAAGGAGATTTAATGTGTTTCAGCAAATTACGGCCAGTTTGCTCTTTATCCGACTTTCTAAATTAGCTAGATTTTTGAAACCTAATTTAAATCCAAATTATCCCTTCCAAAAATAAAGTCAGTGATTACCTTTTTGTTCTTTTCACAAAGATCTTTCAGCAAGGCGTCCAATTCATTTTCATCTATGTAGCCGCTCCTATCCTGTATGGTAATAAATGAAGCACATTTGACTTATGAAAGACTTGAATTTAAAGTGCTTGATGCATATTCCATCTTTTGGAAGTAAAAAAAAAAAAAGAAAATGCCTGAATCTGCTTTAAAAGAATGTTGGATGATATTTTCAATGAATTTATTATATATGTTATAATGCGGATATAACCTGCGGAACGGGGTTGACAGATAGAAGGAAAGATTCCAGGCTTACATAGAATATTGCATATTCATTCTCAGTAATCTAACTTTCTTTTTTATTTTCCAAAGTTTTTATTTTTAATACTTTTATTTTTAAACACCTCTTTAGAAAAAAAAAAAGGATGACTTTTATGAGTTAAATAATGTTTTTTTTTTTGTTTTTTTTTTACCAGGGTATCATATGCTTGTAAGTTAAATAGTTAGGGTTTCTCAGCATATAATGAATTGTGATGAAACAAGAAACAAATTTGATGAATATAGGGTAAATTAGCCAACCCAAGAATATAATCATTTTACAAAACCTCACAGTAAACCCGGACAATACCAATTTCTCATACAGTTTCCCTTCATTGGTCTTGCAGCAGGAATTCCTTTGGGATTCGGATCACCTCTCCATAACCATAAATGGCATCAATTTAATTTTGTTGGATAAGCTTTCCAAATTAGTTCATATTTTAGATAAATGTTTATCAAAATACATTATACTGCTTTGCCCTTATCTAAAATATCATACTCTGCTCAGGACTAAACATATTAAACTCCTACCTCCAGTGGGACCTGAACTACGCCTTGTCAGACACAGCGTCACATTAAGGATCCCAGTGACGCAGAAATCCAGAAATGTGTTCCACCGGTGGATGGAGGATATGACATCATCAAAAGGAGACGGGAATGACATTGTGCCAACAATGAACAGCCAGAAATTGGAAACATTTATGTCTTATTTGTAGAAGATGTAAAAAACTCAATATGGAAGGAATAAGTCAGCACTGAAAAAAGGCTTTTTGGTAGCTGAAACACATTTGCCGTATACTAATATACTTGTGTATAGATACTTTCTGCTTGTTATCCTTGGTTACTATTAGGTGGTGAAGGGGATTTTAAATTATATTTTAAACCCATATAACCATTCTTGTTTTTAGTACCAAGAGACTATTTTATGTTTGCTTAATAAATATTTTCTGTGAATCCTCTGGATTCTCCTGTTTTTCTTCTTTGGTACTGGATCTTGTAACCAGAATTGGCACCCTTCAGCCCTATATACAGAGCCTGGCACTGCTCTGAAGCATATGAGTGATATTACACCCTATCCTTTAACCTTATGTATTTAACAGTTCACACTATATGGTATTTTTTCTATTTTTGCAGGTATCTTATATGTATTGTGTGGTACTAAGAAAACTGATTAAGTATACATTTGTATACATATTTTTTTCACTTATGCACTAAAGGGATTTTTGTAACTGGTGTATATATATTTACATATATATATATACACACACACACACACTCTGAGAAAATAATGCCTATCTGTTGCTATGTCGACTAACTAAAAATTTCAGCAAAATAGTCCTGTCAGTATGGACATCTGTAGGGCCACTGGATGAAGCAACTGCTCAGTAATCAAAACTAAAACATTATAAATAAAATTACAAAACAGTGCAATTTTCACATAAAGTATGCACAATTATGTCAGTTCCTTTCCCCCTCAGACACAAAAGGCACTACTCTGGTGACATCCTAGGAATGCGTAGGAGTAGATCTGGGGCATTCAGAAGAGGGATCAGCCAGGTCCAGAGTCATAGGAAAAGTAGTAGCCTCCGTTGGTGTATAGCCTTGAATGTCCTCCCCTCTTTAGTCACCAAGACAGCGCACGGTAAGCAAGGGCAAGCAAGGTTAACTTCTTGGAGTTTTTTTGTAATGGGGTGCATGGATCACTGCCATAGCAAAGTTGATCTACTAATATCTTAAAAGATGATAAGTCTATGTCTAAGGTGCTTTGTATTGCATAATAGACATAAAGGATTGCTTATCCATGTAAGTTTGGCATCTCAAGATGACACTTCGAGAGACATTATTGTGTGCCTGAGGGAATTTAGCTATCCAATAAACTCTATCAAATAGAAATTGCTTAGCCAGCCTAGCAGGGATTACTGATGCTATCAGTTGTTACATAAAATTAAGTAACTCTTCAGGGGCAAAAGAGTCTGCAACTCTGCAGATTTTAATATTTTTTCACCTGCCTCTATATTCTAGGTTGTCAATGCAAAGTGAAATAATGGCTTGAGTAGGCCTGTATTTGATGAACTGTTTCCTCCAATACAGCTAGTTCCTGTCTAAGGGTGAGGACATCTTCTTCTATAGATTTTATTCAGGTTGTCATAGTTTGAACCTCTGCCTTCACAACAGCCAACCCGGCTGCAAATAGCTTCTACATGTCTGCAAATAGTTGTTTAATATCCTGCTTAATAGCTGTGTTGTTGCCATTGTGTTCCATTATAGCTTCGACCTCTATGTATTAAAGGTTGGTCTTTATCCACCGTATCTTCATCTGGTGGGGAACTACAGGCCTCAGGATCTACTGAGCTCGTAGCCTTGTGATACAGAGTACACTGGAGCATCTGACCGATGTCACAAGTCTCCTTAGTGGAGGTCTGTGGAGGTTTCTGGTATCTTCTACAAAGTTCTTGGGGGAGTGGGCAGGTAAGTAGTTACTCCAACCTGTGTAGATTTGAGGAGATTTGGCCGGTCCTCTAAAGCCACCAGCATGCTGGGCCTTAGGAGTCTAGTGCCGAATGTAGAGAAAATGAAAGGCTTCCGTTTGTTCCTTGTACTATCCCGAGTGGAACCCCAACAATGTCTCAGGTAGGTGAGGTAACTAGTCAATGCAATCATTCAGATTGGGTTTAAAAGGTCTGGAGCTAGGAGAAATGGCACCCATACTTGTGTGCTGTTGTGCTCCACACCCCGTATAGAACTCTATTTTGTTGTTGAAAAACATATACTGATTGGCTAGCAGGCATTGCAGAGAATATAAGAATAAGCAAAATATTGAAAATACAAAACACTAATTTCTATTTGACTTACATACAACCAATATATAATTCCCTGTTATATATCCCACATTTTCTAATCATATAGCTTTAACAGTTAGTAGTGTTAGTAGTCACAATCTTACCTGATCATATAACTCAAATGCCTTATTGAATTCCTTTCCACACATTTTGACACCCTGAAAAGATAACATTTTTAATTTTGTAAGACTTACAGGATTTTTTTTTCCAGAAGCTATTCTTTTAAAGTAAATCCTTCTCATACCTGGAATTTTAGGAGGAAATTCTCTTGCACAGGAAGTAACCTATGGGGAAACATAGAATACTAATTAGTAAATCTAATAAAAGAAGAAAATGAAGCCAAATTTAACATCACCTTAGGCACGCGTGCCAATAAAGTAATTAGCATGGAAAATTAAAGCAACCATTGTAGAGGTGCGGGCAGCCGCCAGGCACTCATCATGGTGATTATATTCAATTATCAGTTGGAAAGGGGTTAGCTATTTTTTCCCCAAAGATCGCAGCAACATATGTTTAAGGGGTGTACAAGGATTTAGAGGACACTTGAGTGTTTTAATGTTTTTTGCGGCAACATGATTTTACAAGAAAGTAATGCGTTTATTCATAATGAAATTACAAATCCAATATATTAATATTAAAGGAATAATCAACCCAATAGAGGTCATGTATAGAAAATAAGGTCAAGCAAAGTACTAAAAGTTCTGACAGTGGAGTAATCAACAGTAACATTCAATTTTTAGAACTTGGCTCCGTAACTATTCATACATAACCTGGGGGTACAAGATTTACATATTTTCTTTATGATGCACCAAATCCATACTCACATAGTTTATAATAATCTAATTTCCATGCAGTTTTGGAACTTAGTTGATTGTTACAATATTTTATTGAGAACATTGCTATTTGCACTTCATACTGTGGGGTTTTGCATGAAAAGCACTCACGAGAATATGAAGCATTTGTACACGTTTTATTTAATCATGAAGGTTTTTACATTCTCATTACAGGAATCTCAAAGCAAATTCCATGATTATTTGTTTTTGATCTTGCGGTATTGATTGATACATGCTGCTGAGAGTTCCTTTCATACACAGTCCCACAGCCTGAGGAATCCATAAGTGCACATAGATAATTTATACTTATTATAGCAATCAACAACATTCTAAATCCCTTGTAGGATGTGTTATGTGTGACATCATGCATGTATAATAAAACCCCAATATCCACCTCTTGAAAAATCAAAATTATATGTTGGCAATTCTTTCTCTTATTCACCCTTGGCAAAAATAAAACATGATTTTGTCAAAATATGACAAAATTTGCAAAAATACAAAAGTGTATAGAAATACACATCCAAAGAATGGGTAGAAAATAGTATTGTTTTTGGAGGAGGGTTATATTTGTCCAAAAGTAAAAAGAGTGCAAGTGTAGGTGAAGAATTAAAAGTCGGGATGATCTGACAGCTCTGCATTTCATTCAGTGGGTATATTACAATAATTAGTGAATTTGCTTTATGTTCCCTTATATTCAAAGCTTAATTTCTGTCACAACCTGTGTGAGTGTGCTTAATGTCTCCTCATTCTAGATATTGCACTTTCAGTTTGTGATACTAGTTTCTAGTAATGTAGGCTTGTGTTTCTAAGACCAGTGTTTGTACCTAAGTGAGCTTGTGAATCAAAGTCTGTAAATGCCAGCACGGTTATGCAGTCAGGGAAGGTACAGATTAACCTCTAATAGCATAAGCTTATAAAATAAAGAGATTTCGAGGTTGTCAGAACTCACTGCCATTGATTTAGCCCTGGGAGAGCTCCTGTGGCTGCTTAACACCTGCTGTGAGTATATTAGAATTATATACACTGCACAATAATTACAATTACTAATTCATTCTGAATTCATGGCTTTACCATGCTTACTTGACTCCCAGGAAATTCATTCTCACCATACCGGCCCATATTTATTAAACAATACTGGCCAACACTCAATAATGCTAACAAACATACGCTTTTAAAAACACTTGTTAGTGTTATCTCACAAAGATAGTTCTCGAAGAGGTTCGTATAGTACAAGGGCCCACATAGTTTTTCTAATGTACACTAACATTACACAAGGACAAACAAATGGGACGAACAATAACAATATGCAATAAGTGCAATCAATGTTTTATTATAGAAACAAGCGTCCTCCAAAGCTTTGTGAAAGCAATTCAAATGATCTTCATATCAGTAATAAAAGTACTAGACTATGGGTGATATGGCTGAGGAGGAAGAAAGCAACGGAAATTAGCATTGCTCACATGGACGCTGAAACGATAAAAAGGCACTTAAAGTTTCAAACAGCATGATTACAAATTCCTCGAGAGCCATTTAGGGTTTTTTTCATAAACAGTAATTACTAGACACAGCATGGAACCATCTCATTCTTTAAATGGCCTGTTGGTTTATTGTTAAAATATTCTAAATGCTCCACATATATCACCCGAATTACTTGTGTTTAAAAAGAAAGATTTGAACCGAATTTAAATTAAATTTTTCTTAGGTGTTTTGTAAATGTCTGTTAGCCATCCTCATTGTTTCCTATATTGCACATTTTCTTATATATATAAATAGCACGTTTACAGAAATTATTGTTTTATGATTTGTAATTCATGATATATTATGATTTCTTATGATATCAAAAACTATATTTAGATCATATTTGCTTTAATAGATCAAATATTAATGACCCACAATTGGAAATAAACATAGTAATTGAAAAAATAAAAGATTTACAATATCAGGAGCTCTCCCAACTTCCGAGGGCCGCCCAATGGAACTGCACTATGACGTTATTTAATACCAACTTAACTGAAACTATATGGCTTTCAGAGGAGGTTGGAGGCCAGCCTCCTTCCTACTGAACTCTATTATGGTTGAAACCGGACTCCTCGTATACTATGGCTAAATATCCAGATAGTTGTAAAGATTTTGGAGTTTCTATATATTGTGGTTGGACTTGTGTTAAATGTATTGAATGTCCAGTTTGCAGGTTCCCTTTCCCCCCACCCCTGCCTTTTTTTTTACCAGGAGGGTGTTGTCCCATAGTTACAAATGATGGCATCCAGACCATTTCAAACTTACTGACCTGATAATTCCTTATGTTGCCCTTGGTTTGACATTATTGATATATATAAATGGCCATATACCCTACTTATGAATATTTAGAATTATTAGCTTCCTGAGATGCCAGCAGAAAGTGAAACTAAAGTCTGTGTTTGAGCATAATGCTCACATACACTAGGTATGAATATATCATCTGTTTGTAAAATGCAGGGATTTACAACTTACTAACATACCTACATGAATCCCTGTAGTGCTCTTAGTGACATCAGAGCCCTCCCCTACAACTTATGGAATGCAGTGATAATGGTTTGTTCTTTGAATCTTCCTTTACTGGGAGAGGATGGAGCCCTGATGGAAATATTTGTTTCTCTTCAGGGTAAATCATCCAAGTAAGTAGGGATTTATGGGATAAAACTTAAAAACATCTTTATACACAAATTTGGTAGAGATGGGGTTCATTTAAAGGAACAGCATGGGCACCAACACAACTTATACATGTATATTAGATTTTGCCCTTAAAGATATGCTGTATCATAGCTCAATGCTATTTAACTTTGGATGTACAGCAAGATTTCATTAATAACTATGAAGGGGAATGCAATGATTGTAATATTATTGCTAATTTCCACCAAGAATGTATGGAATCAGAAGTTAAACTTGAAACCAGTTTTCCATTTCAAGCTATGTTTGAAAATGTTGTTTATAGTTTGCCTTACTAGAACTATTGGGCATTAACCCTTAGCATGGCAGGGGTGAAATTATACTGCAGCTAATATGTGACAATCACTTGAAACATATCTGGCAAGACAAAAAAAAGTGATATTTTGTTTGATATTGATGTAAAAACTACGAATATTCAGAATATGACCAGTGATCTCTAGCAGTGGTTCAGTTTTCAGAAGTTTTCTGTGTACAGTTCAATGTGACTTTTATTGCCCCAAATCTGTACTACACTGATAATGCACTAATTGTCCTCATACAAAACCATTGCTTCACTCTGATTGGCTCAGAAATGGAAACTTGTTGAAATCAACAAACATAAGAAGAAACAACCAACTAGCAGCTGAGGAGCTGCTAGTTTGCAGAGACACACAGAGACACAATTCATTTACATTTGAAATTTCACAAAACTATTTATGTAACTGCAATATAGTGATGGAAAAGTAGTAAATACACATAGCTATAAGGGGGTGATATTTAGCACCTGTAGTCCCTTAATTAATGGAGACAGTTCCAGCATAGAATGCAGACATGTAGAATACACATGTAGTTAATATACAGACAAGCAAGCACAAATTTTCATTAGAATAACACAACGTTCCATAAGGAATTTAATGTCTAGGGAAGAAAATATATTTCTTTTTATTCTATACCGTAATAATTTTCCAATAACAGTCAGATAAAAATCCTGCTCTTACAGACTACAACTAAAGGTTTTAAATTCACCACTGAGAAAAATAAGAACAAATAACAGAAATGATGAAATAATGGCAAGGTACACCTGCTAAAATATCTTATTTATAGTATTTACCATATTCATCATCATTCAAATATTTTTTTATTCAATGCTTTCAATTGGTAAAATGTTACTTAATAGGGGACAAAAATCACCAAACTAATATACTTAACAGGCAAAAAAGAAGCTCCCCTCACCGCTCAGATCCCAAAATAACAATAATTATATATCCTTAGCTCCATCTGTTAGTCTGAATATTAAAAAAAGTAGAGGCCCAAATTCTGGTTGCTGCTATTTTACTGATTGCTACAAAATTGAAAAATATTGTTGTCCCAACTACAGAGGAATTAATTTTGCAAGTCTCTCTAAATTGCAAATATGAGATGATGGCCTTGGACTAGCTCTGGGTGGGGCAGGTGACCCAAGATATATGTAAGATGTGGGAAGAGTTTTTTTTAAAAAAGGATAAAGAGAGATGCCAAAGACTAGATCATTATGTAAGTGATGGAATTAAAAGCTCTTAAATGTAATATCTTGCTACTGTGGTCCAAGGTATATACTAGGTGAGGTGTTTTTGGTCTCCCACCTACAATAGTTTTTGATTTCCTCCATGCTGTTGACTTACTGACTCTCCTTCAATGCCATATCCCCTTCCACTGTCTTCCCCTAGTTTAAGACACCCATTATGGTCTTTTTTACTTTTCTTTTTACGCTTTTGTTTTATGTGTGATTTAACAGCATATACAGAGAGAATCTTTTAGATCAGATATGTATAGCTGCGGTACATCCACACTTCGTAATGTATATGGTTGGTTCTGCTTGCAAATATGAATAACATTTTCAAATAGAAAAAAATAGGGAATGGCTCCATTGTCTTAACTAAAATAAAACATGTAAAAGCATTTCACATTTAAAACATCCTACATTGTCAATAAACCCTCGATAACCTCTGCCAGTAGAAACTGGCCTGTACAATACAATACCCTAAAATCTACAATTAAAATAAAATAACCCAACAACACACATAAAAATGATAAAAATTAATCCAAAATTTCCAGGAATTTAGTAGTGATCCTGAGTGTTCTCTGTTGATCATGTTAAGGAGGGTAGAGAGAAAAATCTAGTTGTAATAAATGTTACAAAACAACTAATTAACACGTCTTTAATAGCAAACTATAATATTACTTTAATTAGTGAAAGGTTTACATCAACAGAAGACAAAAAAAAATCAATATTAAATATTACATCTTACCTTGCCATTTCCGTAAGACCCAGTTTTCCGTCATTATTGGTATCAAACATCCTGAGCTATGAATGATGAAAATAAAACGATAAAAGTATGGATGATTATAATGAACTATATGTCAGAGTTTTAAAATAAAACGATGGCCCACGCTGACTTGTAAAGATGATAGTTAACTTTAGAAATCATACATATATATCATAAAGTCATGAGTATATCTTTTTTTTCCATGCATCATTATGATTCTATGTATATCATCTTGTGACCTATAATCAATATAACTGCGCAGCATGATATTTCAGGATCACAGACATTGCAGCTGGTGATTAATTAGAACTCTATTCTACCACCAAGTTCCAAATTCCAAGACAGACTTTGTGATATTGTACAACTTTTAAATATCATCATTCTTTTGGGGGGTGTTCTCTTAAGGTCGAAGGGGGTTAAAGGAGTGTTTCTAGGAAGTAAATTTGACAAAAGTATATGATTCATTTTAATTTATTGGAATTAGAGTATTGTAGTTTATTTGATGTAATAGATTTTATCTCTGGCACTAAAGTGGGTAGATAGAACTGAACATAAAGCATAATGGCCTCAAAAGAGAGAGCTGGACCTCATAAGAGGGACCTAATGAAAAAAAAAAATCTTGCCCTGAAAATTGGCAAAGGTTTTTCAGTCTCAGGGTAGGTTCTACAGACGCTGGTTGATCTGCCTACCACACCATCATATAAATAATCTGTTGACGGAATCTGTTTTCTAGTAGACAAAGGTCAGAAGAATTCATCAGCTCCAGGCTCCATTCACCAAAATAACCCACATGTTATATTTTAAAGAGCAACACATCACATTTAAAAAAAAAAAAAAAAAAAAAGGTAATATAGTTTAATTTAAATTGTATATGCAAAATGTGTTATAGTTTTTTATGAGAATAACTATCAGACTTTTCTTCCATTTGCAATATAATTAAATTATCAAACACAATGTATTTGGCTATCCCCTGGGCATAATATCGTATAGTACCACGGGCATTGGAGAAAATATAATCTAAACCAAATACTTTTCCAACTATTCCATCAGAAATAGGATGTACTCTTATTGTAATGCTAACAGAAGCTTTCAAGAAGAAGATTGCATGGGAGCTCTTGGAACAATATCACCAGGAACAAAAACTAATTTCCAGGAATTACTGGATAAATTAGTTTATTTCTAACTTGTCCATCCTGTTTCTGTAATGCAAAGCAGTTAATGTAGACACTCATGTTCTTATTGCGATATCACTCAACCTAACACTACAAAATGAGCGATTGCAATGTAGAAAACACAAGGCTCCATCAGGGGTCATCTGTTGTAGCAACCATTATTTATTCTAACTTATCTCTGCTATAAAGATAACCAGGGCAATTCTTGTATGAATTGCAGCCAACTGATTTGAACTAAATGACTTCCATCTTGACACAGAAAAGAAAATACTAACCCATTCACTACTAAAGACTAATAAACATACCATAAAACCAGCCATTTTCTATATATATTTCTGTACAGTAAAGGAGAGGGTAGAGAATACTATAGAATGAGGCCCAATGATGGCTTGAAGAAAATGGTAGGAGAGATTTTTAAATAGATAAATATATAAAACAAAATCAATATTTCCCTTGTATGTATGTAGTATGTAGTACAAATACAATGGAATTTAAATTCATAGTAAGAATTCAACAGATTACGGAGATAGGATACATTATTATAAACCTGTATCCATCAAATAAAATATAGCATTGCACATTCTAATAAGGATATATACCTGCTTGATAACCATATTCCACTTTTATAAACATTGTGCACTTCAGAAAGGTATATTTTTAGTACTTTATTTCCATTTAGACTTAGTAATTTATCACATTCATATTATTAAAATTATATAGCCAAATCATCATCTTTATGTTTGATAGTTATGCTACTAAATACCTCTATGATTATGCTATTATCATCAATTTCTTTCAGAATCTGCTACAACAAAAGGTGTGGATGCCTTTCAAGTGTAAAATAGGATTTAGCTATTAACCAGAATTACATTTTTTCACTTTGTATCGTGTTTGAAAATTGTAACCATTCCTGCACCAGGCAGAAGTATGAAGATACTTTTAAAGATCCAACATTCTTGAAAGATGTTTCAAATAAATAGACAGAAGGAAGGACAATGGCCTGGGAGACTGCAGTTAAATGGATGTAAAAGAGGATTTTAAATATAGATGAACTTATTGGGGGAGATATGAAAAACATGTGGGAGGCTCTGACGAAAATGGTATTTAGTTATCTTCGGTAATCTTTCAGACCCTCTCTGAAAATTTGCAAATAAGGCCCACTACAAGCCCACTACTTATTCCCGAAATGATTTTTATTCACCATTTACGAGGCCAACATGCCCTGATTTAACCCGGTACTGCCCTTTTTTCACAAGGGTCTGCAGCTTTGGGAGGAGCCAGTGACTAATTCAATTTCAAAAACTACTAGCAAACTTTCAGAATATCAATAAATACAAAGATGAAGGAAAAACCTTGTGAGAAAAGACTATTTTACAAGATATATAATACTGACAGTTATTCTCGTGGAGACGGCATTACACTATTATAGAAATAAAAGTTTTACTCCTAATATAAATAAAGCCGGCACAGCTCTAATGAAATGTATTTAACGAAAAGGTATAATATATGATTAAAAAGTGGGACTTTGCCAGATTGAATAAAGCACACGGGTATCATGTGTTAAATTATGCTGTTCCTTTGAAAGCATACACAATATGCTTCTCGAGTCTCCTGTGTTTTTTTTTCTCTTCCATATTACATGCATTTTTTACTCATTAAGAATTAGGGCACTTAATAATAGCAGAGTGAGCCTTTCAGATGAGAATATAACAGCCCGTAATGACTTTGCCTTTGGAGCTGCTGGCTGTATAAAAGACATTTCTGACTGCCTCTATTAACTTTTAGCACATGCATAGCAGATCACTTCTAAATCTATAAATGTGATACTATTATTAAACTTGGTTGCCCATAATATATCATTTTATCCGTATGATGAGGTCCATTTAATGAACAGACCAAATGAATGTGTCAGCTTGAATTTTTTAATATTTCATATCGGCTCCATGAAAATTATTTTTTTTGTCACTCAGCATTAATGTACTCTAACATGTAGATGTTATAGATGTTGGAAAATTTTCTAACAAAGAAGGACATTTACCTGTCGTGACTGTAGTTCACTCTACAGTCATAAAAAAAGTACAGTAGAGGACTATATTTCTTAAACTTTTCTAAGAATCCAGTTCTCAGACCTATGTATATGGTGTTCTGTCATTATGTGAAGAATGGATCAGTCAGTCCCTTCCAAAACATGTTTAATAAAACAGTGTGGCATGGTGGTGACGTTATAGTTTCTTCACAATATGCAAGTAAATTCTTTTACCAGAACAATTTGCCACCGTCATTGTTTTAGGGAATGGACTTTGTTTCAAAACGTTTGACATACTCAGAATAAAGGTATGCAAAATACAACATTTGGTGCCTCGTAACAGCACTTTTTAAAAAGTAATGGGTTGTTTATGTGTTGGTATTTAATTTCATGAAGATTGAAATTTTATCAATTTATCAAAGAGAGAGCGTACACAACAAGGAAAATGTTGCACAAGCGAAAAACATCCTGGTGGGTCCTTCTACCCTGATGGTCATGATGGAACCAGGTATCCTCTACTTCATAAACTAAAATATATTCAGGCAAGACAAGCAGATGCTACTGATTTAAATATTTATTATGGGACCAACAGTCCTAAACCACATTTAAGCTCAGGGAGCCTGGCTTAACCTTTATATTTGTTTCTTTCACATTAGCCTTTACATTAAGCTCTTTTGAGCTGCAAAATTGTAGTTTGGGAATGTCTGTCCTACAATTAACATTTTTGATCTTCTTATGTTATGTTCCATAAGTAAATGAAGCATGATCTTGTAGGAAGCATAGAAACATAGAATGTGACGGCAGATAAGAACCATTCGGCCCATCTAGTCTGCCCAGTTTTTAAATAATTTCACTTCCTGGCCTTATCTTAAAGCTAGGGTAGCCTTATACCTATCCCACACATGCTTGAACTCCTTCACTGTGTTCACCTCTACCACTTCAGCTGGAAGGCTATTCCATGCATCCACTACCCTCTCAGTAAAGTAATACTTCCTGATATTATTTTTAAACCTTTGCCCCTCTTATTTAAGACTATGTCCTCCTGTGGTAGTTTTTCTTCATTTAAATATAGTCTCCTCCTTTACTGTGTTGATTCCCTTTATGTATTTAAATGTTTCTATCATATCCCCCTGTCTTGTCTTTCCTCCAAGCTATACATGTTAAGATCCATACAGGTCTGTGTCCATGTTGGTGATAAACAATACCAGATTCAAGAAACTGAGCTATAGTCAGTTGAATACCATGTAGTACTGTGGAGCTCATTTAGGGCTCTATAGGAACACATGAGTGGGGGTATTGCTCTATCCCCAATAAGAGGTATAGGCAACCTTTGGTACTCCAGATGTTGTGGACTACATCTCCCCTGATGCTTTGCCAGCATTGTGGCTATAAAAGCATCATGTAAGATGTAGTCCACAACATTTGGAGTGCCAAAGGCTGTCTACCCTTGCTCTATAAGATATTCATGTTGAGGATCTTCATAATACTCAATCATCCTTAATTTAGCATAACTTTATTAGGAAATTCACGAAATAAGGAGTTCAATATTGCATAATTTATTTATGATGTATTTTTTCAGTGAAATAGTACGGGATATATGAATTAACCAAAACCAAAAAAGTTACCTATGCACTACCCCAAATCCCAATGCTCATATAACAGGAATGTGGAATAACCCTCCAGGAAAAATATTACAGTTTGTGCAGATTATCACAATAAGTAAATTGAAACAGTTGAGTGGTGGACAGAGGGCTGATGTTAACGTAAGACTAAACACCTTGGACAAATCAATTGTTTTTATTCTACATTGCTAATCATTGCTAAGGGCCATTCTTACCATTGTTTGGGTATATTCCTCTAGTTTCGATTCTTCAAAAGGTTTGTTGGCCTTCTTTAACAAGTCTTTAAGAAAGTTCTATTAAGACATAATAGAGGGAATAAAAGGAAAAATAACCATGTAAAAAGCAGAACAAGCACAGTACAGCAAACATGACATAAAGGTAAAGGAAGTATCAGCAAAGCCTGTTACGTTCTATCCTTTTCAGAACAGAATAAAATGAAATATTTGCTTTTCAAAGAGCAACCAAAAGATAACCGGAAAAAGATCACAAATGTCAAAATACAAAAAAAAAAAAAAAAGGAAAATTTAGAAATATTTAGTGTTTGCTTTTGATATAAAATTGATTGTAAAAAATGTATTAATAAGTCCATAAAAAATGCGTGCAAAGCCACATTTATTTTGTTTGATCCAAAGAAGGGATTTCACCCCTTAAGGACACGACAGAAATATTCCGTCATGATTCCCTTTTATTCCAGAAGTTGTGTCCTTACGGGGTTAACAGTTCTATATTTTGGCTACTATGAGTAATATTTTAGGATCTAGGGCTTCCTGGATCCTATGATCTTTTAGACACAGGTAAAGTTATCAAAAACATCTCTATAAATTCTCCATTGAAGGACCAACCATAAGTGCTTTATTGGTGAGAGGTATTCTATATTCATTCTAGTTTCGATGATTTACATGAGAAATCAGCAGCCTAATAATTAAATGATGAAACACAGGTTTGCTTCCTCCTTCCTCAGGAGAGATAACCGAAGTGGCAGATGTGCTATACTTGAGTGCTCCTGCTTTCTCTCCCATTCCTCCTCACAGATCTCACATCAGATCCGCATTCTTCCTGAACTCTGTTGCAGTGTGTGCGCGCATGAGCAAACGTGCGCTATCATGGAGGCTTTCCAAACCTGTCTCTTCAAGGGAAGAAGGGGAGGTGCAATCTCTTTTTAAATACACCCTCCAATCACAACATGCAGCAAATAATGTGTTCATGTTTTCACTTTTGTTATATGTACTAAATAGTGATTTCCCCTTCTATTTTTGGTGGGGAGTGTTCCTTCAGTAGTGTAATTGTTATATTATTATTATTATTTATAAAGCGCCAACAAATTCCAATTGGTATGTTCTTTAGTTTTTTTTTTTAGTTTTTTTGTATATCCTCTCTTGAACATTTATGGAAAAAGTAATCAATAGACTTTTAAAGATCCTTGTAAATCTACTAATGAAAGAACGATCCATGATCCGTAAGGTTCTTTATTAAAAAAAAAATAATAAAAAAATACTTCTATGAATCTTTCCTGTATACTAATCACCTGTTTCTACAGACAAAATGTATTATTCTTGAATTTCTTTCAAAATGCTAAAATATACAACTGACTTTGACAGATGATGTCAGTATACGGTTGGTTGCATTGCTTTGTCACAGTGCTACCAGTGTAGCTTTACACAAAGTATCAGATGCTTCGATTAAATCTGTGTGTATGTTCATAGAAATAATTTTTTTTTTTATAAATTCAGGGTTTAAGAATACACAGCCTCCAATGAATTTTTAGCCGCATCCAAAAATAAATGTCTAATCTCTGTTTCATTTTCTAATACTGCAAGGAACAGATGTGACAGGTAGAGGAGGGGAAAATGTGTTGACCCCCAATTCCTTTATACAATATGGAGATTCTGAAATTATTCAACAAAATAATAATAATAACATATTTCACTTAATGGCCAGCAAATTTGTAAAATGTTTAAACAAATAATATATAATATAATTTGCTCTTTGATAATTCTTAAAGGAACACTCCAGTCACCATAACAATTTAATTTACATGAGGCTGTTATGGTGCCAGAGGCCCTTGGGCACTTTCTTCTCGAATGGTTTACCCCCAAAGATTTGCTCCAGCACCACATATTAAATTTTGCCCAGTGGCATCCGGCACCTAAAATTGAGTTTTGGGAAGCATGGAGTGCCACCAGGAAGGGGAGCTGTGGATTGGTAGATCAGTCTGCTGCAGCGCTAAGCCAATCAGTAGCTCTATATTCATAAAAAAGGTATGTACCTTTCTACCTTTATAGTATTCACTTTGATATATACAGAATAGAGTATAGGCTTTGAGCGCTCGCAAAACAAATTTCAAATTCAAGAAGCTAAATTTGGAAAGCATAACAATGTTTTCATAACTATAAATTTTACAGTTCTGTTTGTGTTACCTTTAGTTCATCATTTTCTATGAAACCGCTGTGATCGGTGTCATATCTCCTCCATGTCTGCAAAGGAAAAACACTCTTAACTTCATAATAAATCAGAAGATTTGGTGATAACATGCAGTACAAGAGGGAGGCGTAAGGAGGATATTTGTGAAGTGTGAAAAGTTCAACACTTAAAAACTCTTCTACTATTTTACAGAGAATATGAGATCTGTAGACATAATCACATGATATACTTTGCAGAGGTCATAAAATGCATCATTCTACGCAAACAGAATGAAAAATGCACATATCTTCTTAAAATGGTATTGCCTAAGCTCTGGCTAGACCCCAAGAGTATTAAAAGTATGTTGGAAATCCTTAGACTTTTGCTGTAATTGCAATTTATAGATTTACTAAAAAAAAGTTAGGTGTCTATTTTGGTAAATACATTGAATGTGCTCATTCAGCTTGGAAACAAATCTGAGTGGTTGGATCTTAAGAATAAGAAGTGGCTGAAAGGCCTTTATTCAATGGTATGCAGATATGTGTTAAAATCTGGATGGACAAAATCTGGTGCAAATGGGTGAACATTCTGACCAAAAAGGCCAATTCTCATATTTACTAAAGATACTTCCGGTCAAATTTGGTCAACTCAACTAAGTGGACAACAATCAGCCTGATGCATTTGGTGTCTGGTTTACAATCAGTACTTGAACCCTATAAAAAATATAAGATCTGGTAAATGTACAATGTACAATTATAAACTAAATAGTGACCAAATCCATGCAGCACTATGCACATTCGCAAATTATCTTTCACTTGCTTTTATGCAAGCAAATAACAATTTGAAGTACTATTATCCCATTGGCAGCATTAGCAGTCACTAGTTAAAAAAACGATGTTTAATCATGTGACAGATGGCCATCTCTTGCTAGCCCAATGCCACATTTAAAAGTGAAGAAAAAAATAAATAAAAGCTTATGGTGGTCAATACGACACCCATATCAGTATAATGAGCTATAATACCTCCCTGTTTCCCCCACACGCCATGTTGCGCATGGGGCCATGTTTATAAATAGTGAGCAGCCGGGATCTACTCACTGTATATATAGCAACTGGGTGACCAGGCAGCTAAAGGTCTGCAAAATATCTCGAGTGATCATTAAAAGATCTCCCATTGGCAGTAAATAGGGGCAGGCATTCAATAAGGGGTTACAATGACATGTCCAAACTTCTGTTCCCACCTGTGGTTTTGCCCCATTTGGTACGGGCCTATTCAGATTTTAATGACTAATCCTGCAGTTATGTCCTGATTTGCCTCCAGACATGCACAGCAAGAGAAATGTTAAGGGAATTCAAGTTTGCCTGCTTTTTGCAAAAATCTATAATAATTAAAAATATTTAATGAAATAAAACAAACACGTCCTTTGGCTACCTATAAACCAGCAATGTGGACAATCTTTATCTCTCAAAGCAAAGGTGGTAGTGTGAAGATTTAAGGGGAACTCTAAGCACCATAACCACTACAGCGCAGTGTTGTCACTTTGATCCACATAACTGAGTAAAAATGGGAAAGATACAAAAAATGTCAATCTGAACAAAAGAATAATGTTCATTTCAGCTGAGTTGGAGATTGCTAAAACTTTTGCAAATTCCTTTCAGATGTACCCCTAATAAACACATGTATGAAAAAAGGATGCATGTATTCATTGGGGGTATATCTGCTAAACAGTGATTTGGCCATTTTTTTCCCATTTAGTCAGTAGAGTGACCTTTTAAGCCAAAATAACACTTCATAAGCAATAACCTTAACACAGACTTAGCTTTCTAAGTACCATAAGTTGCACTGTGGAGATATTACATAAGACCTTGCAGATACATGTAGACTTCAAACATTGACTTGACATACCTGCATGAACTCCTCACTTGACTTCAACTGCTGTCGAAAAAACAGTAAGAAATTCTCTTCAGTGGGTAAGATCTGAGCAAGCTGAAAAATAAAGAGATGGTAGATCACAAGAGGGAAATGTGCGAGTTGCTTATAAGAACTTTATTTCTGTTTTGGAACACTGTGAAGCAATTCTTTAAAGTTCGGCACATACAGAACTGTTTGACGGCGAATGGATTGCTCTTGCCATGAATGAGAAAAATCTCTATCCTTTTTTATTTTAAGGACAGTAAACTGTATTTCAAAAATGAATCGGAGTGTAGATCATTAACAGATGGACAATTCTGTTTTCCTATCACTGCTATAAAAACGTTAACATAATTTTAAAAAATGTAAAGAGACGATTTTTCCCCAAGAAGCAAAAAATGTGTTATGTTTAAGTACAAATAACCCTAACTAAAGGGTCAAATTTTAGAATGCTGAACAACATACTCCTGACGAAGGCCTGACTTGAAAATATGAAAAGGTGATGGAATTTGATATTGTGCAAATGAACACAAAGTGTACTTGCTGAAGCCAAGTAAAAAGCTTAATAAACCATCTGCACCAGTTTATCAATCTGCAGACAGGTGGATGAGTATTAACTTGTCTACAGGGTGACTTATAAAGGGACAGCAAGTAGTTCTTGATTCTCTAGGGAACAAAAATATATAAATGCATATATACAGCCTTGGTTTTTTTTTATGCAGAATATGCCAGTGGTTCACAAACTTTAATGGGCTAAGGCACACTTCGATGTAAGAAAATGTTTCCAATTCACACTTTTTTCTGTTTTCACTTTTATCAGCATATTATAAATGTCACATTCACCTGCAACCTTCCTAGTGAGATATGCACACTTCTAGTAAAAAATATTCTGTAAATAGATAGTAGATGAAGGATATTTCATATAGGTTGGGGTGTGAAAACATGTTAACATGTACACAGTATTCACATAAAGTCAGGCATTCACACAGAATTGCATACTTTATTATGTACATCCAATGGCACAACATGCACAAACATTCACATTTTATACAGGACAATACAAACATGCACACCACATTTACCACATACTTTCACACAGCACATCTCAGACACACACGCATACCAAGACTAGAAACAGAAGTGCTCATATGTATTTACATATGGCATTTAAATATATATATATATATATATATATATATACATATATATATATATACAGTAACATAAGTTGCACTGCACATTTTACAGTGGCCTTTTATTGTGGTCAGCCTAAGGCACACCTGTGCAATAATCATGCTGTCTAATCAGCATCTTGATATACCACACTGTGAGTTGGATGGATTATCTTGGCAAAGAAGTGCTACCTAACACAGATTTAGACAGATTTGTGAACAATATTTGAGAGAAATAAGCCTTTTGTGTACATAGTAAATGTCTTAGATCTTCGAGTTCAGCTCATGAAAAATGGGGGCAAAAAGTTTGGCGTTTATAACTTTGTTCAGTGTATATACGTGCATAAACACACAGCATGCAGAGGCATAAACATACTACAAACAGGCACATACACATGCATTTACACACAGCCATTGAGTGGGAGGGTTGAGAGGTCTCTGGCAAATATGTATACATATACTTTAATTTGTTAATCTACCCATGCAGGATTGCATGCTTATATTCATACACCCGCACACATACATAGAAGCAATCAGCTACATACATATAGGCAGGAAAGGTGTATTTTCAGAGCAAAGTGCTAATTTTTGAGCAAGAGATAGAAATGTCTAGAGTGATAGTTTCAGATATAGCATTATATACACATTTACAATAAAACACTGTAGTAATTAAAGCTTTGATAAATATAACCAATTTTAGTTCCAGGGCTGACTACATTGTATGGGATTTTAGTCAACAGCATCTGCGCCAGAAAAGTACACCTACAATATATCTGGAGAGCTCTCTTAATATCCATATCCAATCTACAGAGCAGCAACGTTTGTATATGTGTTATACCTTAGGAAGTTGCTTAGTAAAGCTTTTGAATCTATCTGTCCGTACACACACACACACACACACACACACACAATCCATATATAATTCCTCTGTCCTAAACCCTCTGCTTCACCTTTGTCAGATGATTTACATTGTAAACGTTAAAGATTGAATGGTACCTGCCTTTGCACTTTAAGATAAACATTATTTGTTCGTAATCAATTTTCTTGTGTTTTTAATTCATTTAAAATATGGGTTAGGACTATATTTGCATTTTTTCTCTTTGCTGTATGCTACAGGTTCAGAACAAACATGACCTTTGATGAACTCGTTAGATACATATTTGAGGCAAATAGCAAACAAACAAAATCACAAAGGAAGCTGTTTCATCAATCTTGATTTCCACATAATTTGCATAAAATCATTGTGAATTGAGAATTTGCATGCTACATCACAAAGAGTAATCTACATTTTAAGTTCAGCGTCTTCATTCCAATCAGTATCAAATTTTTGACCGTAGAATAATTTAAGCAAAATATTTATTTGAAGCAATTTAAGGTGAGCTAACACACACACTTAATGCAAAACATTAAACTGGGAGGATACCTACAATATTTTTGCAATAATGCAGAGACTGAAAAATGAATGAATCAGGGCTAGTATATATTTGAGTACATGTAATAATACCGGATAACAGGACCGGATTAAGAGCCCAGTGGGCCTGGTGCTGACAATTATGATGGCCTAATTACAGAATCTTACCGACAGAAAACACTAAACCAGGTACCTCCCAAGCGTCATGTATCTGGTGGAGGTGGTGCTAGAGGGAAACTGACAGGATATAGTTATCAGAAAACACATACCCTATGCTAATCTCTTGCTTTCATCTTTCAAGTAAATCCATACCCCCTAACAGCAGTGTTTGGTGAAGCAGGATTTCGGGGGGCGTGGCAAAAGTGTGGGCCACTGATGTAAATCATGTAACCAGAACAGCCCAACGGGGCAAACATGCCCCAAAACAGGGAGTGTCTGCACAAAGAATTAGATGGTCAGCCTGGTGTGAATGCACGTCAGACTACCTGCCAATCGTGCAGGGTGACCAATCAAGGACATACTGTGCAGACAGCACCTTGAGCTTGGCATAAATGTGTCTAATGATGCGCTGGCTCCACTCCTCTCCTAACCTTCTTACTAACAGGCAGAAGCTCCTGTTATACAGGCTGGGACAGAGAAAAAGTGTATGTAGCGAGTGTAGAAAAAATGTGACATGCCACAGTGTTAGAGAGAATGAAGCAGCAAGAACTTTTGCATAGTGCACAAAGTCAGCTTTACCTTAACTAATTTCATTGTCAGACAGTCCACACCAGTTTTGTTCCCCTACATGCCTCTTACGTTTCCATGTTTAACTAAGCATGTGAAGAGTAGTAAAAAAAAATAAAAAATTAAAAAAACCCATTATAATTGGTAAAGATACACCATACAACACTTCAGTGCTATATTTCTCTCCCCTTCCCCTTCTTCCATTACAACACAAACAGACTCACTGATAATGAATGCTGACTGTCTGGATAAGCTGACGAGCTCCACTGGGCATGTTCAGAATTCAGGTTGTTTTTTAACTCTGTTCCAATAGCGATCACTCAGATATGCTCAGTGTACCCATAGAGGTTATTTCTGAGGTGCTGCATTTAATCCCCACTGAGTGTCGAATTAAATGCCCAGTGCATAATTGTTCAAAGGTCTTACTGAAATCTTTACTTACAAGGAATCCTAAAGTTGTGCACTGAGTTTATAACGCAAAAGTTGTGAGTTTAATTCCTGAATGATAAGGTTTCCATTTTCTGCTCATTCTGTGCACATCAGATTCTGGGGTTGTGAATTGAATCCCTGCATTGTGATGTTTTGTTTTGTTTTCTGCTCCTTTGTTTTCATAAGTTTCATGTAGTTGTCACAGTTATATTCTATTAATATGTTTAGTAAATATCTGTATTGAAACTTGGGTAAACTACGTCACTAACGCACCCTACTTCAAGAGCGTGCGTGACGTAGTTGTGGTGGTGAACTTAACACCAACCACACTTAACCATAACCATAATAATACAAATATTACTATTTTAACGCTGCCTCCACCAAGACAATTTATAAATAGGGTGCCTTGGTCCTCCAGGTAACTTAATAATAAAAACCCACCAAATAAAACTTAGCACAATAACTATGCAATTGCAAAACACTATTTAGTCTCTTCAGGCAACGTGATTCTTTACCAGACAAAGGCAGAACTTAATAATAGTCACAGTGCATATAAAAAATAGATAATAAACAAGTTATTTACACCAACAACTGATAAGAACAAAAGGGATAAAATAACAGAAGTCCTAATCACTTACTCAGGTTTTCAAAGTAAAACTTCTGCCTCTGGTAGGAAAGATGGTGACTCACTCAAAATTTGATTTTGACCCCAAGCAAATACAATAAACACTTCAGTATCACTAGATATATACCCTGTGGATTACCAAGCCTCGACCAGAGGTGGAGATAAGGCGTACCTATAGTAACTATAAGTGAGCACCCCCTTGTGTTCCAGACCAACATCAATCCAAATGAAAACATTTGGTTCTATCTTCTCTTATGTACTCTCCACAGAAATAATAATTGCATCTATGAATTTGTTACCATTTTTCCATTCCATAGATAAGTCACACTCCTTACTTGTGACCCAATATAGCGGACATCCCAATCCCTTCCCCTATGGTTAAGTTACGCAAATCATGTTTGGGTTTGATTAGAAGATTGTGCTTGTCCCATTCTAAATATAATAGAAATGAGGTTTAATTATTAATCTGTGGGTAAGTATTAATGTTTCTTTTGGATATGATACTGGAACACAAGGCTAATGGCTATTAACATATCAAATGAATCAACTCATCAATTAGGAGGTACAGGCCATATGGCTAAAGCCAGCTAGTTTACATTGGAACTAGACATCCATGCATCTCAAGTGTAGAATCTCAGACCCTGCATAGCCTTTGATAAATCAAAGGATCAATCCATGTTGCAAACCATCTGCCCCTTCACATTCCTATACCATTTACATTATCCCTTCTGTCATCTAACCTTGCAACCAAGTGGCCAATTCATATATGCACTACACAAATAACGATAAATGGTAATATTCTATTGTGCAACAATGAAATTATGCACCCTTGGCGTGACAAACTACATTTATTAAACCTATTAATTTTCTATTGTGTGAACACTGAAGAGTGAATATGTTTACTATTTTATGTCTTGCTCCTTGTAAAATAAAGTATTTACTGCCTGTAACACATTTAACCACTTTTGTTTGTATCTGTTTTAGCACAAATTATAAAAAAAAAGAAAAAATATTGTATATCCATAACAAGATTTGAATCCTAGTCAGCTACATACATGAAAACCACTAAGACATAGAGAAACTGACACAGCTCTACACCACTAAGCCATAGAGATATACATAAAATCTTCTTTTTTAAATTGGATTTTTCTGTGCTGACAATTGTAATAATTCCATATTTAATATAATTTATTGTGTCAGAGCAGGAATGTATAACTCAATAGCCTAAGCAATTTCCTGCATACTAAGTAACACATAATTATATGTTAAACCTTTTCAATGCCTTGGGCATGCCACTCACATTTCTTCGCAATGTGCTGGCCATATCTCCTGCAGGTAAAGGGTTAAATTAATTAAATAAAGATTTAAAAAAAAATTTTTTTTTACAATTATTGACAGCTATGTAAAACGTTTAATATATCATAAGTGAAATTCTGCCAAGTGCCCCACCACGTTAAAGGAACCCTCCTAATGTTATAGTGTCTTAATGTCTGATTAGTTTTAGCGCGCCCCAAAATCCTGCACCTAGACTCCCTTATTGCTGATACACACTCCTCCTGCAATGTCATCCTGGCGGTACTGCCTCTAGGCTTATGGTCCAATTCATTGCTCCTCATGGAGGAGAGTTGAAGATGAGATTAACATACATCCAATCAAATGCTTTCCATAACAAAGCATTGAATTCAGTGAAGAGTTAAAATGACAAGACAGTGCGACCACTTCATTCAAATGAAGTGGTCTGGGTGACTTTAGTGGCCCTTTAAAACTTCACCAGCTGAAAGTGAGTAATATATAATCAGCTTCTTTTCAAAACAGCTGCGTTAAGGACCTTTCCTGGTTCTAACGGAAAAAATATACGGTATGTATAATGGCGGTACACTCAGTTCTGTGAAGAGCTTAAATGGCATACAGTAGCGTGATACCTCAGGGTAATACCGTGAATTATATGAGTTAAATATTACACTCACAAACACAGAAAAATAAAAGACTTGAAAATATATAACTTTTCCAATTAGATCTTGCAGAATTAGACAGAACGGAATTAACCTCCAATAAAATGAACACAATGCAATGGTGTAGGATGTTAAAATGTATACAAGAAAAAAAAATACATGTATTATAGTATCATATATTTAACATTTAATCTCTAATGAGCAAATATGTCTGAGACATTTTTAGTTGAAAAACAGAAGAAAATAAGCTGACTGAAATCAAAGCGATATTTTAATTGGTTGTTTGAGGTTTCTATGAAATTAAAATACATTTGGTCAGTGACCAGTAAACCCAGAACTGAGAATAAACTAATGGCAGTCCACAGTCTGATTTCTTATACTAACAGGACAATTTTTTAGGACAGGAACTACCAGGCATACCTGAGGTCATCTACAGAAAAGGAAGGAATTTCTCAATTTATTTAACACCTAGCTTGTTTAGGGATAAGATAAAAAATAAAAGAACAATTACAAGGAAGGGATTTTAAACTTGTGGAAAATGTAAGGTGTGCAACTTCATACCCATTCTTTCTCAAGTACCATTACTAAAGAGAATTTCAAGATACCTTTTTGCATTTACTATATTCACACTGCACCTTGGGTGGTCTATATATTCACCTTTTAGCTTGGGACACTGAAGGTAAAAACAGGCATGTTCCATTCAGAACTTCTGCAATGGCTCTATATTAGCTCTACTTTAAACTTTGATTAAAACACTATAGTTTCTTTAAATTTTACCAAACATTACAGAATAGAAACTATGATAGTATTTACTGTTATTCTTAAACTTTATCTGTACCTTAAATGGTTTTATAATTATAGTGTTGTTTTCTGAAACAAACACAACACACAGTAAAACAATATATCCATAACACGGAATACGAAGGAATTACATTGACCTTATTTCATGGAGATGTTTTATTTACATCCTGATTATTGACCTGTTAGTGACCAAATACATCTTTTTAAATGAAAGGAAAATACAGGCCATGGAAGCTCTGATTGATTTTGTCTTGCAGGCTAACACAAATCACCCAAGGCTACCTTCAAGGACACACTTTTGCACTGCCGCATCATTCTTTTTTTTTTTTAATAATCAGTTGTTTCTAATGATAGAAGCCTTATAAAATAAGATACATATGATTAATTATTAATGCGCAAAACACAATCCCCAATGTTAGTCAAAAACATTTAATCGTGCCAAGTTGAGGACAGTTATAGTTAAATTTCTATTTAAATCAGTATTCTCAAATAAATATAAATTAGTAGTAATTTCTTCTTTAGAGAAGTAAGTTCAAAAATGTTTTAATTTACCAAAAAAATACTAGAATCTGAGTATATGACTTAACCATACCTCTTAACAGACCCAGATCTGATGGGACCATCTCAAATTAGGGGTCTGCACCTGCCATCCTGGGTTAGACCCCTGGTGTCTTGCATCTGGGGAATTCAAGAAACTGTCCCAGTAAGTGCAACACAAGCACATTATCAGACGCACTTGTGCTGTGTTGAATGGTGTCAAGGCACGAGGACCATTCACAGAGCGCCCCAGCAGCAGTCTCTGGCCCACGAATCCTCATTTCCGATTCTTACAGGGAAAGTTAGAAGGTATGCTTAGATACTTGTGAATTCTTACACAAGGCTTCCAAATTGCAGCTTTGGACTTGTTTGGAAATTGGAGAATTATCCACAGGCACAGCATGCATCATTCACTGGACATAATAAGGGGGTATCAGAGTCTGTACAGATGTTTAAACAGCTACTAGATGCATACTTGCAAAAACATAATATTCAATTATATCATTTTTCAAGTGTAGGGTAATAACTTCTTGATCCAGGGATAAATCTGACTGCCATTCTGGGGTCTTTTTTCCTAGTTTGTTGCAAAATTGGAAGTGCTTCAAACTGGGTTTGTTTGCTTTCTTTTGGATCAATAGCAATAAACAGATGGGAGGAAGGCTGAACTTGATGGACACATGTCTCCTTTCAGCCTATGTAACCATGTAATTATGTATTGTAACTATGATAATTTGACACGATTATGATGAGCCAATACACTTATTCCAAATCATACCCATCAGTACACCTATGCACCCTAACCAATCTCTCAACAGGCTCAGTCGTGCCTCTAGCACACACATCTTACAGCATAACAGATACACCTTCTACGCACAACATTAATTTACTATCATTTGAATGCACTATTAAGATCTTCCATGAGTAAAATTGCAAGCTATGCCATTTTATAGAATAACATTGTTCTTTTCAGTGCTCAGTAATATTGTATATATCACAATACATCATAATATTATATACTCTGCTTTAATGTTTGTTTAACGTTACAAAGAATATGTGATGGCTTACATAATTTAGTTATAATGCAGTTATGAATAAATTGATTTCTGTAAATAAGCTGGCTTATAAAATAAGCAATTACAGTGAGACAAAGCGAACAAAGTGAATACTCAAACCTCATTGATTTGATAAAAGTAGACCTTGCAATACACAGTGAAAGACTCAGTAACCATCTGACAAAGGAAAATCTACAACAAACCAACTGTGTCCACATAGTACAACACACACATGTCTACATAGTCAGGCTACCTTCCTTCAGACAAACCAAAACCCAATCTTCACCACCAGAACACCCAGGCTCACACTCTGCCCCTCCAACTCCCTGGCTGAGATCATCAAGATTGATGATCTCATAGGGAAGCATTGGAGTGGCTAGTGCACGTGTGGCAAAACGCTCCGCTGCACCAATCATATGCTGTCTAGATGCTTCATTTGACCTATAACTGACCTGTTACTTTGTTACAGCTGAGGAAGCACTCTAGAGGCGCACTAATCGTGCAATAAAGTAATGTTTTCAGTTTCAGGATTAAAAAGACAAGGGGATGGTACACAGATCACTTCACTGAGACAAAGTGGGGTAGTTGTGTATAGAGTCCCTTTAATAATGCATTATTCGGATTCCTGTCTAAAAAAAAGAGCTGCAGATTTCTTGTCTGAAGCATTTGCAAGCCCTCCCCTTCTAACCCCGCCCAGACTTTTGTGGCTGTCCTATCACAGACTTCCAAATGAAGCTCAATAAGAAGTCTTTGCAATGCATGTGCCATGAGCAATTGCTGCCTCTTGAGTTTAGCACCACTGAGCTAACCAACCAGGAAGTAAAAGGACCTGATGTCCGATTGTTAACCAGAAGGGTGTACCACAATTAATTCATAAAAGTGCCAATTTCTGTCAAAATCTGCACTTTTTAGTTCAATAAAAAAATGAAGACACACTCTTTAGGTATCAAGCACTTCAACAAGCTAAAGTACTTTAGGAGTCCGAAGTGTCCCATTAAGCTGGAAGGAGTTATCCAGAATACATGATTGTGCCACAAAATTCAGGGTAATTTTGAGCATTTAACTAAATATATAAATATCAATATTGCATCAGCAGCTGTACAAAAATGACTTTCCATAAGTGAAGACCAGGTTCCCGCTGTCACTTTCGAAAATGTTTTTGAAATCTGTACACCAAATGCGCTTTGGGAGGTTATTTTACTGGGTCATTTATCTGGGGTTGTCCCACGTATAACTCTATGTCACATGATGCAAAGAGTATGATCTCAATGTCCAGGCATCCGACATCCATGAATACACAAAAATCAATCCCTGACATATACTTAGATACTCTAAATAATATATGCTACTAAAATAAATTTTACTCTACATTATGGCATTCTAGCAATACTGAGATAAATGCAGCTTCCTGTTACAGTGAAATAAAACTCTACTTGGAATACAAAAATGCATTGATTTTACTAATGCTCCCTAAAAAGAACATAATACATTAAATGTATTTGTTTCATTAAACATGAACATAACATGAAATTGAAGGGAAGTAACAAATTAAAGTGCTTTGTCACTGAAGGTCACTGAAAGATCAGGCTGCAATTTCAACATTAGATGTACTTATCCTCATTGCTCTGCCTACATTATTAGCATGGTTATTGAAGCATGATCTTCAGAAAGCCACTGACCAAACCTTCAATTTTTAAACATTAAATTACCGTTATATAAATGACTGAAAGGTTGATGCTGTAATGGGTATTTGTCATACCCTGAGGTCAACGTCAGGTATCCATACCTCCCAAGTGTCCACATAGGACGGACAGTCTCTATTTTTGTCCTAAATACATCCATCCCTTTTTTCTATCCCAATGTCCCTCTATTGTAGGAGCTAAGAATACTTGGTGCTTCTTATTTTACACCAAAGCTCCATAGCAATAATTTACACAGTAATGAGTCTTTAAATTACAATAAATTGGTTTAGAAACCAGTGTTTAAAAAAAAAAAAAGATAAATTGTTCTTGTTCTAAATTACATTTTAGCTAACAACATTATTATTAGTATTTCATTTAAAATTAATGAACTGTTTGGAGGTATGGGTATCTATATAAATGTAATTTTCACATTGTGCTGTCAACAGGACCATTCACCGGAGCTTCCACCATGGGGGGTGATCATGCCACAATGTCATAATACATCCAATAATACAGACCAAGTCATTGCGGTCATTAAATAAAAAATATATTCAGTATATTAACATGCCTACTGGTGAGCAGTCAAAGTAGGTGTCACATGATAAAATATTATATGTTGTGTAGCCTATAAACATTCCATTTACCATGTTCTAATGGCTAAAATATTTAGTATTAGATTAGATCTCTTACCTGATATTGTGTCAACAAAATCAGTTTAAAACAATATTTCCAGATTTTTTAATCTAACCTAACTAATTTTAGCTCAAATTAAAAATTGATCATCTGATGCTTTTTAAGTAAGGAAATGACCCAATCTCATCCTAGACCCCGTTCATATAAAACCCATTCACACCTCCTGTCACTATCTCTCCTCCTACTTCTAGCAGCTGGTGATGTCTCACCCAACCTGGGGCCCTTCACCTTGTCTGCTCAAACTAAGACAACCAGAAACCACACAAACCTCATCCACATACCCTGCAGTTTATCCTCCTTTACCAACATTCAGTGTGCACTCTGGAACGCCCGTCCCATCTCTAGTAATATTAAATCAACAGCTATACACAACCTCACTCACGATATTGGCTCTCACTGAGACCTGGCTGTCCCCCTCTGATACCGCTATTCCCGCTTCTTAATGTTCAGGTGCACTACAATTCTCCCACACTGCCAGACTGTAAAGAAGGCAGTGTAGGCATCCTTCTCTCCCCTCAATGTACCTTCCAACCTATCCTCCCTGCCACTGCCCTTTCCTTTACTTCCTTTGACGTTCACACTGTCCGCCTTTTTAAGCCCACTGCTTTAAGAATTGCCATCATCTATCGCTCCCCCCTGTCATCCTAGACTATTCATTGAACACTTTTCTTCCTGGCTACCCCACTTTCTCTCCGCTAGCATTCCCTCCCTCATACTTGGGGACTTTAACATCCCAATCAACAAGCTCAACTGCCCTGATGCCTCGCGTCTGCTCTCTGTAATCTCCTCCTTTGGCCTCACGCAGTTGTCTACTTCAGTAACTCATACAGCAGGAAACACTCTTGACCTCATCTTCACCAATCTCTGTTCCACCTCTAATCTCTCCACTGTTCCATTTCCTTTGTTTGACCACATTTGACATCAGAATACCCGTACCCAAAATTCATCACCCTCAACTCTCCAATCTCACAGAAACCTCAACTGCCTTGATCTCCAATTCTCCACCAAACTCCAAACTCTCCTCTTACCCATCTCAGATCTAACTTGCCCTAACTCTGCAACCTCACTCTACAACTTAACTCTCTCCACTCAACTCCACATGATGGCACCTCCTACAATTAAACGCAGCAAGTGCCCCCAAATCCAACTCTTTGTTTGACCCCCTTCAGTCTGAATTGAGCACTGGTCATTCTGTCAAAACGGCTGTGACCAGAGTATCCAACGATTTAATTGCTGCTAAATCTCGCAACCATTACTCTATCCTAATTCTCCTTGATCTTTCTGCTGCCTTTGACACTGTTGATCATCAACAGCTTCTTCACATTCTCCATAATTTTGGTCTATGGGATACTGCTCTCTTCTGGTGCTCCTCCTACCGCTCCCAGTGCTCTTTCAGTGTTTCTTTCTCTGACTCTGCCTCTTCCTCCCAACCACTATTTTGGCGTCCCCCAAGGTTCTGTCCTTGGTCCCCTACTGTTCTCTATCTATACTGCCTCCCTTGGTAAACTCATCAGCTCCTTTGACTTCCGCTATCATTTCTATGCGGATGACACGCAAACCTACCTGTCCTCTCCTGATCTCTCTCCGCCCATCTTGACTTGTTTGTCTGACTGCATCTCTGCGATTTCCAACTGGATGGCTTCTCACTTCCTTAAACTCAGCCTGTCCAAAACAGAACTTCTGGTCTTTCTTCCCTCAAGTGTTGCTACTCCCGTGTCTGTATCCCTCCAAGTCAACAGTGCTACCATCATCTCTACCTTGCAGGCTCGTTAGCTGGGTGTTCTCTTTGACTCCAACCTCTCCTTCACCCCTCATGTCCAATCAATCGCCAAATCCTGTTGCTTCCATCTCAAAAACATAGTGCGCATTCGCCCCTATTTAACGCCGGATGCGGCTAAGGTGTTGGTCCATGCTGTTCTCTCTCACCTTGACTAATGCAATCCCCTTCTCAGTGGTCTTACGTGTTCCCTGCTTGCACCACTGAAATCTATAATGAATGCGGCGGCAAGGCTCATTATCCTTTCCGCTCGCACCTCCCACGCCTCCCGCTCTTTCAGTCCCTGCATTGACTTCCAGTTAGATATAGGGCTCAATTTAAGATTATGGTGCTTGCTTACAAGTCCCTACATAATGCTGCTCCAACCTACCTATCCTCCCTAATTCAAAAATATGTCTCGTCGAGGCCCCTGCACTCTGCCAAAGACCTACGTCTATCCTCTATCTGTACTCCCACATTTGATACTCTTCTGTGGAACTCCCTTTCCTTCTCCGTAAGTCTTTCACCCAGTGTCCACTCACTCAAAAAAATCATTGAAAGCTCACTTCTTCAAGAAAGCATATCAATTAAACTGTTACATATTTACATAGTTACATAGCTGAAAAGAGACTTGCGGCCATCAAGTTCAGCCTTCCTCACATATGTTTTTGCTGTTGGTCCAAGAGAAGGCAAAAAAAAACAGTCTGAAGCACTTCCAATTTTGCAACAAACTAGGAAAAAATTCCTTCTTGACCCCAAAATAGCAGTCAGATGTCTCCTTGGATAAAGCAGCTATTATCCCACTAATTAGAAATTATATCCCTGTATCTTATGGTTTTGCAAGTATTTATCCAATTGCAGTTTAAACAGGTTTTTATCCCCCACCCCACATGACTCCTCTCCTGCAACTGTCAAAAATTACCCACTAAGCCCTCAGTGAATACTTTTCTAACAACCTACTTCGTACCCCTACTTTTACCCTCTGTGTCACTATACCCCCCACTCCCTCTAGAATGTAAGCTCATTGAGCAGGGTCCTCAACCCCTTCTGTTCCTGTATGTCCAGTTGTCTGGTTACAATTACATGTCTGTTAGTCCACCCATTGTACAGCGCTACGGAATCTGAAGGCGCTATATAAATAATAATTATAAAATTAAAAAATAATAATAATCTAGACAATGTGTAACATTTGAAGCCTCTCAGTGACAGCTGATGATAAAGGCTGCAAAGATAATTGAGCTAACCAGCCAATCACAACTTGTGATTGCCACAGTTGGTCTGATTAAGTTAGTTATACAATGCATAGTGCAGGAAATAAGAAATGTTTGTTTTAACGTATAAAGCAGCTCTTTCCAAACTCCTTGAAATCATTTTTTTTTTAAAAATTGTTTAAAGAGACTCTTTGTGAATAGATGTTAAATGATGGTACAAACAATTGATCTACAGTAGATCAAAAGAGGCAACTTAATTGTGGGTTTCCAAAACTGAACAAACAGTATTTATTTTTAAATACAGACCATGACCTATTTATGGGATTTAAAGCTATGAGCCAAATAAAATGAACAAAAATCAAAGCCTTCATTGAAAACTATATGAGCAACCTAATTTTCCCATACATAAAATATATCCTACCCCTACCTCTGTGTCACTTTACCCCACAATATGAGCTCGTGCAACACCCTCTGTTCCTGTGCGTTCAACTCGTCTTGTTACAAATACATGTCTGATAATCCACTCAGTGTACAGCGCTGCGGAATTTGTTGGTGCTTTATAAATAATTAGGTTTGTAATGCGGAATTAGGAAGCACTTCCAGCTCTTAACTGTATCAGGGAGCAGAGGTCTTAATGAGAACATCTGGTCCCCCTAAATGAAAGGAAATACAATATGAATTCAGAAAAATCTAATTATACCTTTGCGATATCAGGTATGGAGCTAATAGTAAATGTTATAACCATGACCTAATTTACTGTCACACCAGCTTTTTATTTTGCCTCCATACGGTCTGGATGGAGGCAAAATAATGCACCTTGATATTCTACAATTTAAATCACAATGATAATCAATGGTAAATGACACACACATACTATACTGCATTTAACATTTTATTTTTAATGATAATCAAAATAATGACAGTTTTTCTTTGAGCAAGCCAATATTTAATTTTTATACACAACATGCCAAATTATAAAGGACCTAAAGAAAGATCATCATCTCTCAGTGAGGACCTGTTTACCTGTGTAGTCCTGTTAAGCTGTGTTCTTGGCTGATACTACTTATTGAACAAGTGTCTAACTTAATCTCTTCAAGAGTTTTCAGAGCACATCATCCCTAGAGATGTGTATAGTAGACTTGTTTCAGTCTGAATTCGGGCCGATTGGGTGATCGGTTGAATTCCCAAATTCCAAGCCGAAATGTTCCAGAATCACAAACCAAACAAGACTCACAATGGCTGAGCATATACATTCTGATGCATGATTCTGCCAATGAAACAAATGGAACCAACAGTGGCAATGGACAAACAGCTTTGGTTGTTTCGTAATTTGACGTTCCCTCCGTGGTGCTAAAGAAGTCAGGACTAGTGGGAAAAAAGATGATTGATGTCTTGGGAACAGTCACTAAATATTTATATTATTCACAGATCAAGAGAAGTTACCAACAGAGGTAAATAAAGAGGTGCAGTAAAAAGAAAGAAAATCTAAATGTATATATTATATATTTAATAACTATGTGGCATATAAACATATAAATATAGATTTTTTATTATTTTTTTTACTGCTCCCCCTGATTTTCTCCCTATTGGATACTTTTTCTCACTTGAGCTGCAAATCAAATGGCAGGAAAATGCTCCTATCAGCGTAATGCAAAATATATACATAATGTTTATATTATGTATATATTTTGCAGTTCACTGATTGGCCCAATTCTGCACCATTCCGGCTCATTTGATTTGTTTTCTGAATCCGTTTTTTGTTGCCAAACCGACATACGTCCGCCTCCATTTTTTGGCCATGCTCAAATCTAGTGTATTTTGAATCTCAATAAAGTAAAGTAAGGGGTTTCCTGGACTTTAAGAATCCTTTTCCGTGCTGTATCTGTGCATTGTGGAGGCCCTCTTTGTTTAGAAACACCATCTGCTAAAAGTCATTTAAAGCAGCACAAATTCGAGATGCCACTAACTTGCGCATGACATTGATTATTGAATATATGCTAGTTTTTGGTTTCCTGCATGATGTTTGGTTGGATGAACCCTGCTTCTAACCAAATAAAATTTAGGGGACGATAAAATCCAGGAGTAGATCCAGGAAAAACACTGAATCCTCCAAAGGACCTTGTATGACCACTACCTGACCTCAATGTCCACACCCAATAAATGTCTAGGAAATGTGTGTCCCTAGTCTGAAATAACACTGGGTAAAATAGTTAGTTTGGGTTTAATGAACTAATGAAGTCTACCAATAAGAAAGTAACTGTTAGACAGGAGAAACACTGATAGCCAAGAAGAAAGGGGTCAAGTTTACGAACCAAAACTCATAATCCTTGGAGACAATTTGTGTGGCTAATGTCAGAAATCGATTCTGCAAATTATGCTTCTTAAATTAGTTTCTTTTAACTGCATTTTACCGTCTGGATTCTGTGTCAGAGAATTAGATATGTTTCTCATAGACCATTAGGAGGAAACTAGATCCAAGGTGCATAAAGGGATAGACTACTCTTACATTTATAACTTATATGACTGATAGTTTGGGTTTACAGCTGTAGGTATGTTTGCAAGTTTGTAGTTAAAAGTAACTAAGAAAAGGCAAGAAAAGGCAAACAGTGGTAGTGGAGCTCTTTGCACAATAACCTACTTAATTAAGCAGCGTATGTTCATTTGGTACTTGACGTGTCTTTTTGAATAAGGGTGTACACTGAGTTAGTTTGTTTTGTCCATTTACACAGGTGAGAAAAGAGGCAAGAGTAATGAATGTGCAAGAAATGGGGGAGTAAATTTTCTATTAAAAATAAGATAAAGTAACTTACAGCAAGCCTGGGCTAAATGGGTGAAATATTGATCGTCACATTAAAAGTGCAACAGAAATGCACTTCCCTAGGCTCCTAATCCTGTTTGAGTCCCAAAAGCAACACTGGTGTATTTCACGTAATTTCCAAAACTTTTTATGCCATTAACATTCATTGGATTTGTTGTTATATCACCAGCTTACATTTTGGTGAATTAAAGGGACACTATAGTCACCAGAACAACTGCAGCTTATTGGATTTGTTCTGGTGGGTAGAATCATTACCTTCAGGCTTTTTGCTGTAAACACTGTCTTTTCAGAGAAAATGCAGTGTTTACATTACAGCCTAGTGATAACTTCACTGGCCACTCCTCAGATGGCTGTTAGAGATCCTTCCTGGGCCATGGCTGCCTAAAATGCATCCAAACATTCAGTATCTCCTCCCTCTGCATGCAGACACTGAACTTTCCTCATTGATGTAATTCATCTCTATGAGGAGATGCTGATTGGCCAGGGCTGTGTTTGAATCATGCTGGCTCTGCTCCTGATCTGCCTCTTTGTCGGTCTCAGCCAATCCTATGGAGAAGCATTGTGATTGGATCAGACTACCACTTCTGATTATGTCAGCTGACTGCTTGTTTTTCTGAGTCTAACAGCATGCAGAGTTACAGCTTCAGGCTTGAATACAGTAAGATTTTTACTACATTTATGAAAAAAATGTAAGCGTGGGAGCATCGAGGCTCACATACAGTTCAACATGAAACCGGGGAGTTGCAGTGGTGTCATTCATATGGGAAAATAGTCACGGGAGTGTGTGGTCAGGGGGATTACCCCTTCTCTCACAAAGACCAGGTCCTCATTTTGGCAGTCCCTACACGGGGTCAGGTGGTAGGTGCCGGTGGCTCATCCGTTGACTGTACGTGGGTGGAGCGGTCTTCCGGTTCCCAGCTCTCCGGTTGGCTTGCGGTTATGGAGGTGTGTTGTGGGGGTTGTAGTCCCAGTGCCCTCATGAAGGTGGGCGCTCCAGTTGGGGATGTGAGATGGTGTGCGGTCCCGTTGTGATGGATGAGTAGTGCGCCCGTGTTCTCCCACCTGTAAACTATGCCAGCTTTGCGCAGTGCCGTTGTCACAGGTTCGAATGTTTTTCGTCTCAGCAGTGTGGCTCTTGTGACATCCTGGAAGAAGGAGAGCTGAGCGCCCTCAAAGGCCAGTGGTGTTTTGCCTTTTATGGCAGTCATTATCTGTATCTTGTCTGATATTGTCGTCAGGCGCAGGATAACATCCCTGGGTGTGCTGGGTTGTATGCGTGTAGAGCTTGTCACTCGGTAGATCCCATCTGGGGGTTTTTTTTGGTCACTGTCTGTGGTAACAGTGTTGTAAGCAGTTCCTCGGTCGTGATTGCGGCTGGGATGCCCCGGATTTTGATATGTTTCCGGCGTTGTTTGTCCTCCAGTGACATAATTTGGCCGGCTAGTACATGCTGCTCTGCCTGTAGGCGTTGGATCGATTCCTTAAGGGTGGACACTGTGTCATGTACGGTGGTAATGTCTGCCTCTATTGTTCCCACTCTTTATGTGACTGATTGTATGTCTTTTTTGACCATGGCGACATCGGCCGCCAGCAGCTTTTGTATGTTGGTCCAGAATGTTTTTAGGTCCCCTTTAGTCATGGGGGCTGAGTCATCCTGGGTGTCGGGCAGCTGCGGGTGTTCCGCCGGGGGAGTTATTTTCGTTGTCGGCTCCTCGCGGTCAGGCTCGGATGTTTGTCCGGTGGGGGGGGGCGATGCATGGTGTGTGCCATTTCGGCTTGCACCAGTCAAAGCCACATCTCCCCTATATCTCTGTCTTGTGTGTTCGTGCCTGCCGTGGGTTTGTGTGAGCGGTGTCCCATATCTGTGGTGCCCGAGTTCAGATTGGATGCGTGGTGCACGAGTAGGCTTCCGTCAAGGTAGGCCTCCAGGCCCTGGATTGGCGTTGCACGGTAGACCGCGTATTTGCACCTTTGCCTGTGCTGCTTGGGTGCCATGAAAAAAGGCATCAATCGATGTAGTATGTATCACTGATCGGCACCGGTTGCTTTTCGATGATGTTGTGTTAGCAGGTCAATTCAAGCTTTTTCAATAAAAATCAATGAATTAGCAAAAGGATATGCTCTTTAGTAGTTATTGTATACTCCATAAATTCTCAACAATGTAAGTAGAAAACTTTCTAAACAGCACTGATGCTATAGGCACATTTTTTAAGTTCTTTAAGGCACATATTCTTTTGCATGTGCTTTGCTTCACGGTCATCGGTTGTGCTGTCATAATTTTGAAAATGAAATTGAGATGGGGAATGGTGTGCATCCAAAAGTATGTCGGCAGACTCAAATACTCAGCTGCGTTGAATCAAGAGGGGGTGGGCAACGAAAATGGCATTTCAGCATGGTGCATGTGCTTGTTCAAGTAATGCAAAGTATGTTTTAAAGAAAATGGAATTAGCCTTTATGTCAACATTTAATGTACCATACCAGAAAGCAGCAATGATGTGTTATTGTTTTTTTTCATTTTTGGGGGTGAGGATTATCCTAAAGTGAGCAGTGTACCCACCCATATTAAAAGAACTGTCCTGATGGCACAGTTACGAGTTGTCAAACCCAGAGCTGTAAGTACAAATCTGAGTTGATCTCAGATATGCCAACAAGGAAGGAAGTGTAAAATGTGAGATTTGCGTAATCAGATACACACATATATTGATTCCTGGCCTTAAAAAGATGGATCATTTCCAGGTCACTTGAAATCAAAGCTTGCTTATCACTGCTATCTTTGTAGTTATGCCGTTGTGTAGAATGGTTTTGCTCTTTAATAGTTACGTATCCTATGGTTGTCAAGAAAACTGTCACTGACAAAAATATCTAGTAGGTATGTCTATAATAAGATGCATTCTAGTAGTGCGATTTTCTGCCTACAATACCAGTTACAATTACTTTTAAAGCGACACTATAGTCACCAAAACAACTTAAGCTTATTAAAACAGTTTTGGTGTGTAGATGAGTCCCCTTCAGTCTCACTGCTAAATTCCCTGCCAGGTACGAGTAAATCATTATGTTTATGCAGCCCTAGTCACACCTCTCTGCAAGTAATTTGCACAACCTTCCTAAACCCTTCCTGTAAAGTGAGATCTAATATTTACACTTCCTTTATTGCAAATTTTGTTTAATTTAGAATTTCTTATTTCCTGCACTGTTAGTAGCTTGCTAGACCTTGCAGAAAACTCCTGTGCGGGTTTAAATATCAATTTACAGAGCAGGTGATAAAAACTTCAAAAGTAAGTTAACATCATGCAAGCTGTGTCAGTCACAGCAGAGGGAGGTGTGGTTAGAACTGTATGGACTGAAACAAAAGCGATTCAACTAATAAATGGCAGAGAATTGAGCAGTGAGACTTCAGTGAGATCTATACACAAAAACGGCTTAATTAAGCTAAAGTTTCTTAAGCTAAAACTCTATTTTATTACAATGCATTTAAATGATTCCACAGTTTGGTTTGATTAGTAATTAGTACTCTATTTAGGTCCATCATGGTGCCTCCCTAGTGTCAGGATTACTAGTCGATCCAGCACGCAGGACTGTATTACACCTAGGACTAAAGGTAATGTCTTACCGGGCCTTAGAATGGCCGGGCTTAACCTACCAGAGAATAGTCAGAATACTTGCCGAGGTCGGGGACACAGAATGAGACAACATGATGAGGGAAAGCCAAAAGTCAAGGATACCAGAATACAGGGAAGTCAAAACGAAGCCAAAGTCAATAACCAGAAATCAACGCTCAGGAACACACTCTCGGACAACCACTAAGGGAAACCATGACAAGGCAATGAGGGAAGGCAAGAAGAGTTAAAATAAATCTCCTTTAAATCCGATTGGCCGTACCCAGCCTATGACTCCAGAACATGCGCGTGCTTCCTTTGCGTGACGTCACACGCACATTGACATTGTCAATACCATGGGCAGACATGGGCTACAAATTGGTATGGATCTGCAGCAGCCGGCGTCTTTCAGCATGCCACAGGAGCCAGACACACTGGCACAGGAGTGCCGAGCAGCATCTCCACCAATGCCAGGAAGATAGTCATCCTCACGGACACCACAATGTGAGGACGGACATGTGACACCTAAGGGACTACTCTCCAATCTTTTCCATCCTGTCTCCGATCATTTCCTCTTCTCTTCCGCTTTCCTACTCTGTCTTTGTTTTGCTCTTTTTTCCATCTATTTCTAACTAGAAACCTAAGACAAAGTAGGGACTAATCATTATTATGACCTGATAAAAAATGACCCTTGTTATGACCCAAACACAAAACACAAAAACTGTTTCAGAATTGACAAAACTCGCTTGGTTATCTAATCATCAGCCACTCATCAAAATAATGATATTATCTCCACTCAAAGATACATCAAAACCATATATAAAGCAGAGACCTAGAATTAGAGAGGAAATGTGTTTCCAGTGACCAGGTTGCATTCCTCCTCTGGCTGTTAACCCCATTTCACATGCTCAGGCGAAAACTAGCCTCCATCCATGTACGAGGAAATATCACTAGAACTATAATTATGCTTTGTATTGGGTATAGTGCCTGCGTAATAATATCATTAACCTAATTCTGTATGAATATTCTGAGCATATTCTTCCTTACTTTCTACACCAAAATAAAAGTGGCATAAGGGAAAGAAAGGAAAATGTAATACTTTTTTTTTATTTTATTTTTTTTAAACTACACAAATGGTATTGAACAGAAAAACTGATGAAAAAAAGGCAAAAAGGGAAAAGACCTTCATAACAGATCGTTCACAACAGGAAAAGTCCCCAGAAATGTGGTGCTTGTCCAATGACACTTTGATACATGTCCCTCTAAATGTCTCATCATGAACATTGTCTTTCTGAACTTGATATACTCATGGTACTTTGAATTTTACCTTAATGTTACTTTACGTTGCCCTTCCTCGAGGCTGACTTCTTCAAACTTTAATATATAACACATAAACATAGTCCCATTTTGAGGAACAAAATGAACTGGACAGTTGACTGCACAACCGTTTTTGGTTGTATTTGTTGATGCATCTTTATTTCATGCACCTGATCTAAGGAAGGTTTAGAGAAGCTTCTAAGTGTGTATTTGTATTTGATGTATGCCACTGTTATCTCTGGTCACGGGAAACAAAAATGTCAGTAAAGTAGGCCAACATGAGGCTGAGCGTGAGAATAAATAGATCAATTCTTAGCTCATTGTTAGGAACCAACAAAGAACTGCTGGGTTCTTGTGTATCAAACAACCTACTAGTCTCCAAAAGACTTCTGTAGTGGGCCTGTATTGTGATAAAAAAAACAAAACATTTTACACTGTTTTTAACAGAACAAGAACACTCTCCATGGATAAAATTATCAAGGAACGCCATAAGGAGAACACTAAATCGGCATAGTCTAACAGGGTATAAGATAGAAACTACCTGTAAGTCTCAGAAGAACCAAGTTACAATTTTCTTAAAAGCACATTAGAACCCATAGAATTCTGGAACAAAGGTATATGAACAAGTGAAATGATAATGATTATAGCAGAGCGAACGAACTGGAAAAGAATGGACAAAGAAATGCACATGATATAATCTATCTAAAGAATACCACCACATCTGTGAAACAAGGCAGAGGTACAGAGAGTGAACACAACACCAGACAGACTATATGAAAAATTAGTTTAACATTTAAGTAAGTAAATCACAATTGCAAATTTGACTACAAAAGTGCAGAGCACTAGCTAGATGGAAAATTAGAGGAATGTATCAGCCATAGAGAGGTCTGATAGGTGAGTTTTAAAAATACAGGATCTAATGAATTTTAAAGAAAAACAAACTAGTTGGTGCTGAATTAAGGTGCATCAATCATAAGAAACGAAAGAAAGTCAAAAGGAACAATATAAAAAATAACCATATTATATGCTGCACACAACCAAACTGTATGAGTATGGTGAGCAGTGTAGGACGCTGAAAAATAATTAACAATGATGGTTTCGCAAAATACTTCCAAAATACCAGAAAATGACAGCCTCAAAATGAATAGTGGTGAGATTAGCCTCATCACTTCTGTGACCAATCTGAACAACAACTGTATATTCAGAGTTTCATAAAGATGTAATGTATGTCAGGCTTCAATTTACTATTTTTTTATGATTGGTTAACCTACAAAAATATATAATCTGGTGTAAAATGCCAAAAGTCTGGACCATTACGTGATGTGTTAGCTTTTTCTGTTTTCTATATTCAAATATGTTTAAAGTTTGAAAAAACGGAGGCATTCAACCCAGAATGTCTGTTGTCAATTGTTAAACAGGGTAGGAGATCGGTATGGTAAGAGCAGCTTAATGTAAAAGGCATTTGGGGAGATTTATCAAAGTGTTCTGTTCTAAAAAGTGGTCTAAAGTGCTAAAAGTGGGAGCAATCTCCATAGAAACCATTGGAAACAACTGACACATTCCATTGGTGACTGATCCCCTTTTACTTCTTTGCACCACTTTTTAGAACAGAACTCTTTGATAAACCTCGCTCATTAGGTCTGATGAATGCAAAAAGTGTCACAGCCTGTGCATGTTCTCCTCGACCATCAAACGTAAACATCATTCAACTTTATTAACAAAATTCTAAACTCAGAGAATAACATAGGGGTCTATCCACTGAAAATCTCAACTGTGAAAATCTGAAATTTTGGGCGAGAAAATTTAGGCTACCAAGCCATGTGAGAATGTTTTCAATTCAGCCATTATAGCCTATTTTGCTATTGAGTTTCCATATTGCTACAATGTGAATTATAGTGAATATAGCCCTATACATTTATTCTTCATTCATCACCCAAATGGAGATTTTACTTCTTAAAGAATAATGAAACAACTCACACATTTTATGACAGCATTTTAAGAACAACTGGAGCTGCTCTGAATGCAAAGTCTGGCCCTACTCATTATTAGATGCTACATGTTATATGTCCCCCCTTATTTTTCACATCCCTTGCATGTGTATTATATGTTTAGTTTTAAAGGTGTGTATGTGTAAAATAAATGTGTGTATTAGATAAGCCATATGTTAGCTGACATGAATTGTGCACGGACTGCATAAATGTTTTTTTTTTTTTTTTAAATTTGATAATTTTTATTTTTGCTTGTAGCCGCCTTGAGGCAGAAACAGGTTACAGATTAGGCAGTGGCATGTCTCCAAAATTCACATCACAGGCGGGTATACACGATTGTGTTAAATAAGGCAAACTGTAAACAAGTACAGCATAGTACAACTAAGATTTTGTCGCAAAACAAACATAAAACAGATTGATACAATTGGCATTCCATACATGAATCTATTCATCTACGTAATTGCTATTGAAGTAGATTAGTTTAACCTTGTATGACTCCATACGTTTTACTTACTAATTGGTGTCTGCTGCACTGTACACACTATATAGCAAATAATTTAAGCATTAGGACCTAAATCATCAAATGAAATTCTGTTCCCACTGACTATATTGTGTGACTTGACAACCAATTACTTTATTTTTCTTCACTTAACCTAATCCATCAGTAACTAGGTTATTTAATTTAGTGGATAACTGGGAAGGAAGGGAGGAGTGGGGAATCAGGAGTCGGGTGCATAATATTCAACAAAATAGGTACCCAATTATTAATGCCCCAAGATTTAGTGCCATGTGTTAGAGCCCATGATAGTCCGTCCAACTGGTTATGTGTCAAATGGACCATACTGTCTCAACCAAAGTGGTGTTGGTCTATAGGTAACTGCTTTAAAACAACATGCACTCAAATTGGTTCAACATTCTTTGCCAAAAAATGTATCCCCTTGTCTGTTTGACTCATTATTCACTTCTATTCTGATCTGTTTGTGCACCATCTCCTCGTAAGACCAATTTAATGAGATCTGATGTGACTGCATGAATTATTAATACATTATCTGACAAATTGATTTACCGATTATCCAATCTATATTTGTAGAAATGGAAACCATGAGTTACATGGCAATCTTAGGACTCCGTGTTAATTTACAACACTGTTTTTATTTGTGAGCCATCATATTTTGATGTTAAACATTAAATGTATATCAAATCCAGCCCATGAACGCTCTAATTCATTCTACTCAATCTAGCCACTGTGCCCTCTAATCCATGTTACCCATTTTACTGAATCTAGTTACTATGCCCTCTTATCCACATTACCCATTTTACTGAATCTAGTCACTGTACCCTCTAATCTATTTCACCAAATTAGTGCGCTGCACTATATAATTCATTTCACCAAATCCAGGCACTGTACTATCTAATCCATTTCACCAAAGTCAGGCACAGCACCCACTAATCAATTTCACCAAATTCAGGCTTTGTACTATCAAATCCATTTAACCAAATTCAGGCACTTTACTGAATTCAGACACTGCACATCCTAATCCATTTTACTGAATCTAGCCAGTTGAGATTACAAAACATTTTTCAATGACTTCTAGATGAATTCAAAAAAACATTCTAGGTTATAGTGAAATCAAAGATAGCAATCTTGTGAAAAGTCAGCTTGGCGCAACCATTTTTCCCTAAAAAAAAGAAGATTTTTTGGGATGCCGAAATTTTCGTTTGGCAGAATTTCTAAATTGAAAAATGAATTTGGGAACCGAATGATACAAAACAAAAGTGTATGAAAATAGCCAATGGGTGCGACAGAAATACATAACATAATATTATGCATATATTTGGTAGCACACCGATGGAAGCATTTCCCTCCATCTGATTCACAGATCAAGTGGGAAAATATAACTAATACGTTAAAAAAGAGGAAGCACAGTAATAAAATCTATATTTATATACACATAATATATAAATATCATTTTTTTACTACACGTCCTTTTTTCCCTCTGTTATTCACTTCTCATGTGATCTGTGAATAAAACCAACATTTACTGATCATCTTTTTTTTCAGTTATCTCTTTTTTTGGCACAGCGGACAGAATCACAAAGCAAAACGAACATGCATGGCCATTGTACGTTTTAGTTGGTTTGGGATTTGGGTACAAATCATCTGATTGGCCCAAATTCTGACAAATATTTAAATCTATACATTCAGATTTTTATTGCTTAGAAAGTAGGGCAAATTAAACATCTAATGAGGTAATTAAAATTATTTTGAAATAGGTTAATTAATAATTCAGATTCTACTTCATAGCAGAGATTCTTCAAACAAGGTAATATAAGGGGACTCGGCATGTTTCTACGGCTCCATTATAGTGGGTGGTTTAGAGTAATGGGAGTTTTAAAGGGTCATTTAATAAAGTGAAAATTGAAAGGAACTCAAACGGAATTCAAACTTAATTTCAAATGTAATAGATGAACTGGAACAATTCTCCAAGTCAATTGTGCTTCCAGGCTATTTTGACCTTAAATGTGAAATTTACTTTAGTGCAGGCATCTCAAACTCTGGCACCCAGATGTTTTGGAACTACAAATCTCATGGTGCTCTGTCCATCTTTTGCATTCAAAGATTTCTGGGAATTGCAGTGGACCAGAATTTAAAATCCATGCTTTAGTAAATAGCCCTATGAGTCTATGAAAGGATAATTTTTGAATTTATGTTCAGTCAGCCATCATAAGAAATGAAATCAACAACAGTTAGATCTCTAATGAGGTTTGGTACACTGTATAATAATACATAATTAAATGTCTAACCAAGTAACCAAGAATTGTCTAGCTGGCATTGAACTAAAATATCCATTGTTTCAGGACACTCAAAATATTAGACATTTAAAATAAAAACCACTATGCATATAAGGTATTATTTACTTAAGATAAATATTTTAAACTAGATACCTCATTCGCCACAAGCAACCTTAAGTATCACTTTACTTCTATCGAAATCACATATGTCTAGGGATTAAATGTTACATTTCAGAATGAAAACAGATACAGTGTGTTTATATATCACCTTCATTAGAAGCTTCAATACCAGACAGAGAAAATAACAGACTCAACCGCATATGTAATCTAATCATCATCACAGCCAGTAATTTACTGTATACCATAAAATTATCTTCAGATGTAAATGCGTGCTCGTTTTAATGCAAGCCATTGCACTTTCAAGTAAACATATCTGTACCTGAAATCTCTTCCCTTTCAAAGGTGATTTTAGTTTTGAGAAAAGCCAGAAGTTGCAGGGCACCATATCTTTCAACAAATTCTTGACCATCTCTCAAGCGTTTGTGCCACACTTCTATTTGTGCTCACTCAATGAATCATCCTCGAAAGCCTTCTGAATCATCTGATTAATTTCCACGGAGGAATGTTCAAGATTAATGCAAAATTTGATGCAGATTTGTTGCCCTACTTGCCTAGTCATTTTGAGTGTGACGGCTACACAGTACACAAGATCACTCAACCGCTTCTAGTGACCCCACTGACTAGTACATTGAAGTCATCATTGTTCATCCACTACACTCTCCTTGGCTGCTAGGTTACACCGATGTCAAGCAAACCGTTCTCATTATATTAACAATGGCCGTGCTTTTCCGGACAGGCCTTGTGTGTGTGTGTGTGTATATATATATAGTATCTCACAAAAGTGAGTACACCCCTCACATTTTTTTTTATATTTTATTATGTCTTTTCATAAGACAACACTGAAGAAATGACACTCTATTACAATGTAAAGTAGTAAGTGTACAGCGTGTATAACACTGTAAATTTGCTGTCCCCTCAAAATAACTCAACACACAGCCATTAATGTCTAAACCATTGGCAACAAAAGTGAGTACACCCGTAAGTGGAAATGTCCAAATTGGGCCCAGAGTGTCAATATTTTGTGTGGCCACCATTATTTTCCAGCACTGCCCTAAACCTCATAAGCATGAGTTCACTAGAGCATTACAGGTTGCCACTGGAGTCCTCTTCCACTCCTCCATGATGACATCACGGTGCTGGTGGATGTTAGAGACCTTGCGCTCCCCCACCTTCCGTTTGAAGATGCCCCACAGATGCTCAATAAGGTTAAGGTCTGGAAACATGCTTGACCAGTCCATGACCTTTACCTTCAGCTTCTTTAGCAAAGCAGTGGTCTTCTTGGAGGTGTGTTTGGGGTCGTAATCATGTTGGCATACTGTCCTGCGGCCCAGTCTCTGAAGGGAGGGGGTCATGCTCTGTTACAGTAAGTCACAGTACATGTTAGTATTCATGGTTCCCTCAATGAACTGTAGCTCCCCAGTGCCGGCAGCACTCACGCAGGCCCAGACATGACACTTCCACCACCATGCTTGACTGTAGGCAAGACACACTTGTCTTTGTACTCCTCACCTGGTTGCCGCCACACATATTTGACACCATCTGAACCAAATAAGTTTATCTTGGTCTAATCGGACCACAGGACATGGTTCCAGTAATCCATGTCCTTAGTCTGCTTGTCTTCAGCAAACTGTTTGCAGGCTTTCCTATGCATCATCTTTAGAAGAGGCTTTTTTCTGGGACGACAGCCATGCAGACCAATGTGATGCAGTGTGGCGTATAGACTGAGCACTGACAGGCTGACCTCCCACCCTTTCAACCTCTGCAGCAATGTTGTCAACACTCATACATCTATTTCCCATAGACAACCTCAGTTTCAGAGAAACTGCTATGTTTATAAATGGGTTAATCCAGCCTCCAAATCCTCTAGTGGCTGTCTCATTGACAGCCGCTAGAGGCGCTTGCGTGCTTCTCACTGTGAAAATCACAGTGAGAAGACGCAAGCGTCCATAGGAAAGCATTATGAATGCTTTCCTATGAGACCGGCTAAAAGCGCGTGCAGCTCTTGCTGTGCATGTGCATTCAGCCCAGGAGGAGGATCGGAGGCAGAGAGGAGGAGGAGAGCTCCCCGCCCGGCGCTGGAATAAAGGTAAGTTTAACCCCTTTCCTCGCCATCCAGCCCGGCGGGAGGGAGTCCCTGAGGGTGGAGGCACCCTCAGGGCACTATAGTGCCAGGAAAACGAGTATGTTTTCCTGGCACTATAGTGGTCCTTTAAGGGTGTACTCAGTTTTGTTGCCAATAGTTTAGACACTATAGGCTGTGTGTTGAGTTATTCTGAGGGGACAGCAAATTGACACTGTTATACAGGCTGTACGCTTACTACTTTACATTGTAGCAGAGTGTAATTTCTTCAGTGTTGTCACATCAAAAGATATAATAAAATATTTACAAAAATGTGAGGAATGTACTCACTTTTGTGATAGACTGTAAATAATACTAATATAATACCAATGAAATATTAAATCATTTGAAAAGCTAAGCCTAAACTAAAAAAATTTATGTAAGTTTCTCGATAGCTCCTAGGAGTTAACCCTGGGGCAGGCAACCTTCAACACTCCAGATGTTCTGGATTACATCCCTCCTGATTCTTTACAAGCATCATAGCTGTAAGAGCATCATGTAGTCCATAAAACCTGGAGTAACTAAGGTTTCCTATACCTTGGGTTAGGTAAAAAGTAATGAGTAACATGAGAAGAGGTCTTAATCACTTTGAGTCTGGTTCACACTTTGATAGTCCGTAATGGTTCTTACTACACTACGACAAAAAAAGAATGTAGGGGTGTATTGGGTAAAAAAAGAAGAAAGTACGTAAAGGAGGCCTTTAACACTGTTAGGATGGGATGATAGATAGATAGAACAAATATCTAAATTTCTCACACTTTTTAAAATTGTATTCATATTAAATTAAGTTTTATATATTAATATTTGATGTGAATTTTTTTTGGTGTTTTTGTTTCTCCTGAACAAAATGATACATAATAACCGGGCTGCACGTAACGTAAAAAAGGTAAATTATGGTTGAACAGACATATAGCTCAAACTCTAGGTTTTGGTCAGAACTTGCCCTAGAACAACTGCCTCCACCCTTAAGGTGTTAATGTTAAATTGTAAACATTGGCTGCTGATGCAAAAATAGATTTGCAAGATTTCTCAAACTGGTTAGTTCCCAAGAACCAGATATACAAGATTTGGTAAAATCAGGGTCATTGGTGCTATTTCTTTACTCATTTTTTTTAAAATATTGATCTATAGCCGGGATACAAAACTGATCTTCCAAAGCATGGATTCATAAATTAATTATAACACTCCAGCAAAAAGAAATATATATATATATATAATTTTTCACAAAAATAAATCAGTGGTTTAACAGTTTTTAGCAAATTTTAACATAGCAGATGTGAAACTGAAAATGGCTTTTGGGGATATTTGAATTACTCTTCTCCAATTGTTAGATAGCTACAGCTATAAAACATGTTAAAAAGACATTTTGATAGTTGAACCATTACCGTATATATATTATTCCCACAACTCGTCTGTGTAATTCAAAACCTACCTCTACTATCCCAATCTTGGCATCACTCTTCTGCCCATATTGATCCACAAAGGCCTTCATTTTGTCTGATAAATCCTGAAATAATAATAGATGATTATATCAGAAAAACTATTTTAATATTATTTATTGCACACAAACAATTTTTAAAAAAATGCAGTAGCAGTAGCATGCAAACGAGTTCTTGTGCCACACACTGAGTAAGGAATTAATCTCACATTAATTTACTAAATGGGGAATTGTGGTTCATAAACCATGTATATAGTGCTAACATGTTTTACGTATTTACAGGATAAAACAGTGGAGATATAAAACAAAAGTAATTGACAAACAAAATAATGTTGGCAAAGAAAAGAGGTAATGACAACCATGCTCAAACATGTTTAAAGGGACACTATAGTCTCTAGAACAACTACAGCTTAGTGTAGTTCTGGTGTCTACAGAATGTCCCTGCAGCCTTTTAGGCACTCAGTCACTCAGGCAGCCACTAGAGGTGCTTTCTAGTCCAGGTATTCAATGACTCCACGATCTGCATGGAGGTGCGGAATGCTCCCCATAAATATGCATTGATTTGATGCATTTCTATTAGGAGATGTTGATTGGCACAGCGCAGTGTTTTGACGCAAATGCACAGTTGCCTCCCAATGCTTCTCTATGAGAAAGCATTGAATTGGTGGAGATCATAAGCCATGAAGGTGGGGCAAGGCGGGTCGAGCCGCTGCAAGACCTGCGCAGTGTTGCAAAAAAAGTGAGCAAGATCATCCTTGTAATGTAAAGACTATAGTGTTCCTTTAAATTAATAGTGGAATTAACCAGGGAATTATGGTAAATTGGTACGTAAACTGAATAATGTTTGACCCAAATTGGCATGGTGTAATTTCTCTTTGGCTGTTTAGTGAAATACCCCCATCATTAATGGTGCTTTTTCAGCAAATTCAAGATATGCAGTGTACTCAGCAAAATAAAGTTATTCTATTTTTTATTATAACCTAAATTGTTTTGGCATTTGAATATAAATTGTATTTTTATACGCAGCATTTCATTTGACCTTAGCATAATGGAAATCTAATTACATTATTACATGTCACTGGTTTCGAATTGAATGGTTATTTCCTGATCTGGGTATTATCAAGATAGAATGCTTTGTTCCGAAACCTAGTTGCAATATTTCAGAAGGTTCTATTGTGTCCTTCTCCTTCCAGCTCTGACTATTCCCTTTTAACATTGCATTTCTTACTGTTGCAAAGCCCCTTATAATAACCTCTTCATAAAGAGTATATGTAACTGGAATAGGCCACCTGGTAGACAAAGATTAAAGAAAAATATGGATGAAGGAACCTCATTTCTCAAACTTTGAATTAATCATCAAGGCCACCCATGCAGCCAAATGCTCTCATCATATACGTGTGCACCTTTGAATCATATTTCTCAGACAAATATGAACATCTAAGCTTCACTGGCACTTCTGAAATGTATATTAACTGATGGTATCCAATCACTTTGAAGCATCTCCTTCAGTCGACAATCAGCATAGTGTTATGATAGATACATGCTGCAGTACTTCAGTAGTTAGTTTGCTGACCTGAACTATGTACTTTTATTTTTTTTATTTTTTTTTATATACAAAACTCGTTTTATAATTGCCAGTTATACAGACTATATTTTAACCTTTGCGTCACCCAAAATGACCCCCTTTTTAAAATGCAAATGAAAACTGTTAGTTTTGCCAATACACATGTAAGTGTTGCACTTTTTATATAAGACCAAAGTCACCCATTTTTTTAAAATTAAAAATCACACAATAATGTTAACAAGAGTCAATTTAAAAACAATAATCACAATCAAACAGATGCACACATTATATTATTTCTCTTTTAACTGCACAGTATATTTCATATAGAGTATATAATCAGAACCAGCTTGTAGCTACTGCGGCACCTACTGCATCAGTGCATCAGTGGAGAGGTCACAATGCAAGGTTACACAAACCAAAAAACCATTCCCCTACTGCATTGCTTTGCAATATTTTGCACATAAACTTTATAAAACAATCTGAGGCTACCAGTGCATTATAAAGTAGCCATGCATGTGGAGCGTTATAATACGCATCTTATAGTGTGTGATTGTACATGTAGTTTTATTCACTTTATTATTGATCTTATTATTTTGCTTCACTAATTATAGACACCTATCCTCTCTCTCTTATACACTCTCTGTCCTCTCTCTCATACACTCTCTCTCAGTATCTCTGTCTCTCTCCCACATACTCTCTCTCATCCTCTCACTGTCTCTCTGTCTCTCTCTCATACACTCTCTCTCAGTCTCTCTGTCTCTCTCCCCTCTCTCATACACACTCCCTCAGTCTCTCTGTCTCTCTCTCATACACTCTCTCTCAGTCTCTCTGTCTCTCTCCCATACACTCTCTCTCTTATACACCCTCTCTCCTCTCTCTCATACACTCTCTCTCAGTCTCTCTGTCTCCCTTCCATACACTCTCTCTCTTATACACCCTTTCTCCTCTCTCTCATACACTCTCTCTCAGTCTCTCTGTCTCCCCTCCATACACTCTCTCTCATGCTCTCTCTGTATCTCTCTCCTCTCTCATACACACTCTCGCAGTCTCTCTCTGTCTCTCTCCCCTCTCTCATACACACTCTCTCAGTCTCTCTGTCTCTCTCTCATACACTCTCTCTCAGTCTCTCTGTCTCTCTCCCATATACTCTCTCTCTTTTACACCCTGTCTCCTCTCTCTCAGTCTCTCTGTCTCTCTCCCATTCACTCTCTCTCTTATACACTCTCTCTCCTCTTTCTCATACACTCTCTCTCAGTCTCTGTCTCTCTCCCATACACTCTCTCTCTTATTCTCTCTCTGTCTCTCTCTCTCCTCTTCCATACACTCTCTCTCAGTCTCTCTCTGTCTCTCTCTCCTCTCATACATTCTATTTATCAGTCTCTCTCTGTCTCTCTCTCCTCTTATACACTCTCTCTGTCTCTCTCTCATATAGTCTCTCCCTTTCACATACACATTCTCTCTCACACACACACACTTTCCATCTCTCTCTCTCTTGCACATACTCTTACTTTATCTCCATCTATCTCTCTCTGTTACACACACACTCTCTCTCTCTCTCTCTCTCTCTGTCTTCATCTCTCTTTCTGTCTGTCTATCCATAGATGTACAGTGTAACATCTTATAATTGCATTGAAAGTAATAAAGTCTAATCAGAACTTTAAAAGCCACAATACAAATACTTTGGTATATAATGTGAGATCTTAACAGCAATGGAATAGCTTATTTCTAACAATATTGAGTTTACAAACTGGAAAATCTAAAATGGCATTTCAGAAGCAGTACTGCATAAATGCAATCTATATAACTTTACTAATCGATATTTAATCATTTTGTTCAAGTACAACTACAATCTGACATAAAATTCATGAATTGGGATTATTTCAGTTGAATATTCAAGTAAACTATTTAACCCTTTGAGTCTCAAACGTGTTTCAACCTTTTGTTCACAAAGAGTGGTGACAAATTGGTTAAATAAAATAAGGTTAATACAATGAAACAAATATTCACGGAAAATATATGTCATCAGATATTCTGTGTAGCTTTATTTCAACCTCTGGGCTGAGGAATACATTCTGGGTACTGCTATGTCAGATGTAATCTGGTGACATTGTATACTTAAAGTAAATGCTGCTGGTAATTCTTTAATCGATGCAGAGTTAAGTCTGCTTTGCTGGCTGCAATCAGCCTGCCAATATGCAGCATTGTATCAGTGGCACCCCCAGACACTCACTGAATTACTTAATAAGAAGCAGATTACAGGTTTTAGTACATCCATTGGAAGCAGAGATGATCAGAACACAACAAGTGATAAAGAGGGAGATACTGAAACAGACACCTTGGATGCCAGGATAATATACATAATAATGCATTCCAAGTTCATCTGGCAAGGTTGGGGTTAAGGATAGTGTATAGATCCTGCACTGACAGCTGGTTCATGGAAAGCAGTGCAGAATTTGCATTTTTCTTTTACTAGAAGAGAGAATCACATACCAGTCCTGCTTTCTTCCTGGCTTGCTGAAGCTCCTCAATAAAGTTCTGCAGCTCTTTGCCTTCAATGAATCCATTCCCTGCAATCAGAAACCAACATTGATACTTTATAACAGGAGAGATTCCAGTCCTGCAAAACACACACACAGCGACAAAAGTAGAACTGGCCAGCTCAGCGTCCTACTAATGGGTTAATGGCTGCAATCCTGCCCTCTGAGTTTGGGTTGGAGGTAGAGATTTAACACATTTAACGCTCAGCCACACAAAGAAAAGGATCGCTCTGCAAATGCTTGTTACAGAGTTGAGCAAAAAAAAAAAGCAAACAAACAAAAAACCTAAATATATATAAATAATAATTAAGAAAAAAAAAAAAAAAACACTATTGATAATTAAAAATGTGATTAATAAATGGCTTTCAGTGCCAGGGCATCACTTCAGACTGGCAGTGAAAGGGTTACTTGCTAGATAGAAGGTAGTTTTTTCTTTTTTTTAAATGAAATGTAAGTAGTCTATTTAGAATGAAGGTATATATTCACCATCAGTGTCATAGTGACGCCAGATTTCAAGAAACTGTGTAGCAGAGATTTCAACTCCTTGCAGGTGAGTCTGTGCCATGTTGTATCTGAGCCAGGAATATGTCTGGAGCTGTCCTCAGTGCTGATCCACTTGAAGTTAGAAGCTAAGACCTGCAGCCTGCTGGTGTATATATTGGGTGTCTGTGGAGCAAGCACACTCCCCCTGCACCTTTAAGACCGCCCCATGCCGCCCCTCTGCACTCACAGAGTCTCCCCAGTCCATCCCACCAGCCAAATCTCCATTTACCTCACCTTGGCTAGGTGAACTGGGCAAGATGTTATCTTGACCTAATGACCTCCACACAGTATATACAGCCTGCAATTTCCACTGCACTCTGCAATTATAGAGCAGCAGCTGTAATAAAAAGAAATATGACATGTGTCACAGTCACATTATGTGTACAGCAATATGGAAAATTAAATTGTAGTATTTGACCTGAGAATTGTGAATGAACTTTATTATGTGTCAAACAGCAATGCATGATAAGCAGTTTTGTATAACAGTGAATATGACTCTGTTCTGGATGATTGGGAGTTTGGTCAATACTGCAAGGAGGGCTTTTTTTCCACAACCAAAGATACAACAAATCACAATTAGCACTTGTAATGAATGTAGAAATCCATAATATGACTTTGTCAGTGACATTGAAGGATTACCCAATAATATAGCTTTAAAAGTAGGTATCTGACCAAAACCACAGAAGAACTGGAATGCCCACTCTTTTAGTTGGCTGACAATTTCTGTTCTAGTAGACATTTGTAGACAAAATGGCTAAGCTCTATGTACTGTATGAGGGATGTGGGATTTAAGAAGTGCAGTTTAGCCCCTTTTAAAGGCATACAGACAGACATTTTATTGAGAAGCTTGCCAAATATCTTTCCAGTCATTGGTGGGAATGTTTTCATCAATATCTCATTGACGACTGAACTAGTGTGGACGATTTGGCAAAGATTTCATAGCAATGAAAAAAGTTGCCCATTAAGATAAAGTAGTTTAACTATAGATGAAAAGTTGGTTGCCACTGCACCAATCCTAGAATAAAATGCATCACGTTGCAGTGATAAATATCAGAAAAATGTGTTTGAAAGACAAAGGATTTGCAGTTTTGTATTTTAACAAGCATCTATTTTTTCCTAGTAATAGCAACTTTGAGGTGATCAAACTCTCATGGACCATACCTAGTAGAAAAAGTTGCCAACAGCAAGAGGACACTAGCAGGGAAAATTCAACAGTTAAAGGGACACCGTAAACAATATAACTATTTCACTTCATTGAACTCGTTATAGTGCCTGGAGTCCCCTGTCACTGTCCAATCATTTTGACCAGTTTAACACTGAATGAGAGTCACTGGCTTCCCATAGTAATGCATCTACTTGATGTATGCCTAAAGCAGATTTTCCTTGTAATTATACCTGCAATGGGACTATGATAGACTGATTGTGGTCAGGTGACATTCTCAGCCAAACACAGCCAACTATTGCTGCACAGGTTAATTCTTCCTCATTAGTCTAAATAGCAGAGATAGAATGGCCTGCTGGGGTCTCTTATTAAAAGACTATAACCACTTCAATCAGATGAAGCCGAGATTGTGCCTACAGTGTCCCTTTAATTAATTTTCCAAGTTTTTTGTGCCAATATGAAATCGATATTTATAGGCTGTACATGGAGTCCTATTAAGTTGGTAGAGCATTCTCATTGTCTATAGTAAATATGATAGTATGTCTTGTTTTCATTACTCCCATCTCTCATGGGCTATCAGTGCATTCTAGTCTACTATTAGCATCAATTTGGGTATGGAAAGATAATAACATCACAATTATAGAAACCCTAGACATCTAGAAGGAACAGGAAACATCATGACTGATTTTGTGACTCAATGTTTGTTTTTTTCCTGAAACCTTTTAAACATATCGACTTTGTAAAGAGCTTTGAAGTCTGATGAAAGTATAGGTATTAGACGGGCTTGAAAGAGATAGAGTAGATACGGGAGTAAGTTCATTTTCACATATGGTAATCTGTCCACAATCCAATGGAAATCTTATTTCACAAGTTTTATTAAGTGCATATTTCTCAGCGCAAAAAGGAAATAGTTTAGATCCATCGCAGTTTCAGGGTTTGGATAGCAGATCCACCCCCACAGAAGCCTAGCAGAAATTATACTGTTTGTGTCACAAGAAAATAACTATTCACATATGTGACACCATTCACAAAGCTCTAGCAGTAAACCTTACAATCCAGTAAAGTACAATCAAGAATTTAAGCTTTATGTACTTCTGAGTTGCATGTTCCTCTGTTTATATGTGCTGTCAAAATTTGCCTCTTCATTGCAATGCTTTAATTTTCAATGATAATGTTTTCATTTGTCATAGTCCACTAAGATAGTTCAGCCAGAGTAAAAAAAAAATGACCACATGTTTTAAAAGACAAAAATAATAATAAATTCATATAACAATACCTTCAAAGACTGTGGTTGCACATTTCACAGAAACTGCCATTAGTTTCACTCAGTTCCCTCCTTCACCAAGAAGAGACTCCACCAATCAATAGTCTCTAATTGGGGTCTGTTCTTAGCCCATACATTTCTGTCCAATAGGGATTTATGGGATAAGTAGCCCGACTCACATTTTTATGCAACCATTGGTAGAGCTGGGTGTAAAGTGCTAGATGCTGAGAACAATGTTATTGGTTCCAATGGTGAATGTTCTGTATTTAACACTTTCAGAGTAATTTACTAAAGTGACAATTCAAATTGAATTTTTCCACTTTGGCTATTTTGATTTTAAATTTGAAACTCATTTTGAATTCAACTTGAATTCTCACATTTGTGAATAAGCCTGTTGGCATAGGAATATCACTTTGCCTTGATAATAACTTCCAATGTATTAAAAGTGCCATTTAAATACCCTCCAAAGGTTGTAGCCTACTGAGAATGGGTACTTTAGATAAGAGTATGGGTAGACATCTATGCATAGTCTTCATTGTACCACAACTAATCCTTCTCTATTTCCTCTTTTAAATCTATATATAATGTTAGTATGTTACTGAATGCATAATTAGATGAATCACATTATTGTTGTATACATATTTTACAGTTAATAAATTTAAATGGATATTAGACACACTTTTATATTGACTAATGAATATGATACACTTTAAAGACTCAGAAAGGATGGCTTATTTGTTAAAATCAAATTACCCCGATAAGCCATGTGTATGTTATACATCCAAATCTGCAAGTTTTTATTTAATTGAAATATTCTCACCTAAATAAAGACCATTCAACTTCCAAGGGACACAACTGTTTTCTTTACATTGTTCATGCATATGTTATGCAATATTCCAATATTTCAGCATTATTGATCATTTAACGTGCAGTTCCACATATGGCCTGAGGATGGCATATAAACTAAAATGCAGTCAGTTCTTTAGGCATCTTTCCTTTACCCTTGTCAATCAACTTTTGTGTGTTCTAATGCATTTTAGAAGTACAAGAAGGCTTACATTGACCAATATATGATTAGTTGTTTTACGAGACATGCTTCTTTGGAAGCTCTATAATTGAGATATTTTAGTGGGCCAGTAAACACTATTTTAGCCTGCTGTTGAATAAGAAATATATACAAAACATAAAGTAACACTCTGGTCACTAACACAACTTAAATGAATTTGACAGGTTTTGGCACGATATTCATGATGGGTCCTGTCCCTATTCAAAAACGGTCTAGTTTGCTTAAAAAAAGAGCAATGTTTCCCTGGTTTTTGCAATATAATTGCACCTCCTTAGCCCCCATTCCTTTTTTACAGAATGTTCTGTTTGGAAGGTAATCAGTGTTATAAATTATCGGCATGAGTTGAGCTGCTGACTTTACTCTGTCCCTACAGCCAGCCAAGCTGGAGTAAGATTGCCCAGGGTTCTATGGTGGATGCCAGGTTAGGACCCCCACCTAGAGCTCTTTAATGTAAATGAGGTTGGGTGAGTTTGTGTGGTGTGGTGGCTGAGTGTCTCTGTGTCTGATGGCTCAGTCTTGTGTTGAGTCTGGGTGTATGAGAGAGAGTGTTTGTGTCTGAGTGTTGTGTTTTGAGGAAGCTGAGCATTGTTTGTCAGGAGAAGCTGAATGTGGCTGTGTGGTGGTCAAGTCTGGTGTGTGTGCTGGGGAGGAGGCTGGGTGTGAAGAGAAGGCCTCTCCACACATCTTTTCCTATTTTGTTTTGTTTTTTTCTTAAAATTAAATTACATTTCTTAAATGCTGCCTAATACTAAAATTGACTCTGAGAGACAATCACTGGTGTCTTAATATCTGTACAGGATTTCAAGAGTATGTCTATTAAGAAAGCTGCATTGTGAAGAGTGGGCATGACTAAGGGGGAGGTGTTACTCTGCAGAAAGCTGTAAAAACTGGGGGGGGTCCCTGTTTTTTTAAAATCACAATTAATGAGATTTGAGTGTGGAGAAAAATACAGAATGACTGACCAAAACCAATAAAATGCACTTAAAATATATTGGTACCAGAAATGACGTTTTAAATGAGAGTTCTTGAAGGTGCAGTCTTTTCTTCTGTAGAGAACTCAGACCATTTCAGTTCAGCAAATGATCATCAATCATGACATGTTCATCAATCATGCTATTCATTTTCAAAATTAATCAATGAAACATACAAGATGCTCATTTTGACAGTCTTACTTATTCAGTAATAATTATCTGAACTTTGTCAGTTTTTTTTTCAATTTGATATGTAGTTCTATATTATTAGAATGGACATATTTTATTCACTAAACTTTCTACAGCTCACCTATTATGACATAAAATGTAAAATTCCAAAGAGTAACAGATATCACTGACTGGACATGAGGTGTCTTATATAGTTCAGAATATCAATATTTGATTGACTATGTTTTATGGGAGGTATAGAACACAAAAGGTAAAGAGAGAACGGTTAAAGGAACACTATAGTGTCATGAACACAAAGCTGTATTGTCCCCCGGTGATGTAAAGGGTTAAAAAACTTTTTTTTTTTTCACTTACCTGATTCCTCCGCCGATGTCCTACAGAGCTGGGTCAGGCTCCTCCTCCCTGACGCCAAATACTGGGGGGAAATCAAACGCGTTGCACACGCATTAGTCCTTTTTCATAA